AGGAGCTTCAGCTCTGAGTCACACAGAGGCCTCAGGTTATCACTGAGTCTCCCCACCTTCCCTGTCCTCCCCTGCAGATGACCTGGATGGACTTCTGAGCGAGCTCCCCGAAGACTTCTTCTGTGGGACCAGCAATTGGGACCGCTCCAAGGCAGGGCACCCGCCGTGAGCCGGCAGCCTCACAGCAGCCTGGCAGAGCTCTGGCTGTGTCTGCTCACATGCCTGGGAGAGAGGAGGACCAGCACAGCTGGGGAGCAGGCAGAGTTCTGGGATCTCTGTGGTTCTTCCCACCCTGGACACTTTTCCCGAGAACACCCTTGTCCCTCGGATCCTGCACTGGCGTCACTTTGGGTCTTCCTTTGGCAGGCGGAACTCCGCTCGGGATTGGATCTACTGTCCTCTAAGCCCTCGGGTACACATTCCTTCTCGTCCTCCAACAGGGAAGGTGTGTCACTGTCCCACCTTGGCTTGACTTTGGGCCTGGTTCCTTGACTCTCTAGTCCCAGGACAGCGGAGGAGCCAAGGGAAGCCACACCATAGCAGTGGCGATCTGTTCCTCTGGACAAGGAAGGAACACACTCAGGCTTCCCTCTTCTTTGTCTCTTGAGGCCTGTAGCTGCCCAGCTCACCCGTGTCCAGGGCTCCAAGGTGCGGGGGCATGGGTATGGCTGGGGCATCTTATTCTGAAATAAAAGCAGCCGACTGTTTCACCCGCCTCCCTCTCTTTCCCACCCTCCCAGCTCCTTGTCCTGTCTGCCCTCCCCCTGGTGCCTTGGCCTGGACAGAGCCAAAACTACTCATTTTCTTTCTCTTTTTTCTTACAGACTTTTTTTTTTTTTTGCTGCACTGGGTCTTAGTTGTAGCACACAGGATCTTTAGTTCCAGCATGTGAACTTTTAGCTACAGCATGTGGAATCTAGTTCCCCAACTAGGGATCAATCTCAGGCCGTCTGCATTGGGAGGTCAGAGTCTTAGCCACTGGACCACCAGAGAAGTCCCTGTAAACCTTTTCTTTTAGACAGTTTTAGATTTACAGGATTACTGTAGAAATGTTACAGGGAGTTCTCCTATACCTCACAACCAGTCTAAGAGCCAGTATTGACACATTATTAACTGAACTCTATGCTTTATTGACATTAAACCAGTTTTCCCCTAATATTTTCTTTCTCTTCCAGGATCCCACGTTACAATTAGTCATCTTGTCCGTATAGACTTCTCTTGGCTGTGGTAGTTTCTCAGACTTTCCTTGTTTCTTAATGACCATGACAGCTTCCAGGAGCACAGGTCTCACCTCTTGTTGGATGCCCCTCTATTGGAATTTGTCTGGTGTGTTTTCATGATTAGATGAGGGTTATGTGTTTGGGAGAGGAAGAGCACAAAGGTGAGTTCCTGTTCTCATCGCATCATATCAAGGGTTGGTGTTGACCTTGATCACCTGGCTGAGATAGGGTTTGTCAGGTTTGGTCAGGTTTGTCTGCTGTCAAGTTACTCTTTTTCTCCCTTTTCACATGATACCCTTTGGAAGGAAGTCACTTTGCCGCCCACACTTAAGGAGTGAGGGGTTATGTTCTGCCTCTTGAAGGGCAGAATATCTACATGGATGATTTGAAATTCTGCGTGGAAGATTGGTCTGTTTTCCCTTATTTTTTGTTCAGTTACCCATTTATTATCAGTATGGACTCATGGATATTTATTTTATACTTTGGGTTAGAGTCCACTGCTACTTTATTCTGTTGCCAAGCAACTCTTTGCCACTGTAGATTCTCTGTACCACCTTGAAGGCAAGAATTGGACAAGGGTCATGGGTGGCGTATAAAAGATCTAATTACACCAAGTAACCAGCCAACTTTGTTTTCCTTTATGGAATGAAGGGAAAAGAGGAAGATGCTCTCAACATATGGTTGAGGGGATGTGAGCCCAGTTTGATGGCCAGCTTTGCATGCCTCGGCTTTCACCAGGCAGCTGTGAGTCAGGGCCTCCAATGGACTTGGCATGGTTCTGGGGAAAGCGTTATTCTCCCTGTTTCCAAAGAGATCCCATGGATCCCAGTCTCAAAGCTGAAGGGAGCAAGTGCCTTAGGAGCTCCATGTTCACCTGGCGGCTGGTGGCAGTGGGACTCTGTTCTAGAAGGCTGTTGTGGCCCAAGCCCAGGAACAGGCAGGAGCCAATTCACCAGCTCTGCCCTTTCACACTCTCACTAAGTCTTCCTGCTTGAACACCTACCTGAGGTGGTTGGATGGCTTCACTGATTCAATGGACATGAATTTGGGCAAACTCCAGGAAATGGTGAGGGACCAGGAAGCCTAGAGGGCTGTAGTCCATGGGTTCAGGAAGAGTCAGACACGACCTGATGACTGAACAACACCTGAGCACACCACGGACGGCCTTCTCTTCCCCCGCTGCTAACTCCCCAGCTCTGCCTCTCTAGCTTAGATCTGGGCCAGAGCCCTCTACTCCAGTGGTCTTCGTGCAGCTAAACCACCCGTTCCCCCGGCCTGTGTACCCATCCACCTCAGCCCCTTGGAGCTCTGTTCTTCACTCTTAACCATCCTAACAGATGTCCTGGTTTTTTGTGTAATCCATCACCCCACAGGCTCTGAGCTCCCAGAAGGCAGGCTGGGTATCCAGTCACCTGGCCCTGTTTCTGCCAGTAAAACTGGGCTCCCTGTGGGTTCATGTGTGGGTTGAAGTAAAGGCCTCTGGAAGTTAATGTTGCGCATAGTTTTTCTGCCCTCAGGAAGTTAAGGCTAAGGACAGGACACACAACATATAGTGTCTCTGGGGACTGAGCTGTAGTCAGCACCTTCAGGCCTGTGGCAAGAAGGCTGCAGAGAGGCTGGGGAGGTCAGCGCAGCCTCAGGCCCCGCTCACAATGACTACTGTGAACCTTGGAGAAGGCCCCTCTTGGCCCCACCCACTTGCCAGCTCCCAACCCTGGGAACCCAGCTGTGGGTGCTCAGCCGGGCCGTTGGCGGGGCAATTAAAACACCAAATGGGTGCCAACAGGGTTAATCACACCTGCATTTATAGAGGCGCCTTTCTCTGAGGATCTCCAAGCCCTCGCTGGGCATGATCTCATTGCTCCTCTGGGATCCCCCACTCTGGAATACCACCAAAAAGCTGGGGCCAGAGTGGATGAACAGCAGGGTAAAGGCAGAGCCAGAAACAGCCCAGGCTGCTGCCACACACGTGGGCATGCAAATGCGTGTCCGCTCTGGTGGAGAATGGGGGCCTTCAGTCAACATGCTGCGCATAGGAGGCAAGCCTGCAACAAGACCTACTGTGCGCCATGTCCTGCGGGACCAGAAACCCAACTGAACCCATTCAGGTCCTGCTCTGGAGCCCATATCCGGGGCAGCAAGCCAGGAGCATGGATGGGGGAGGAGCTGGAACCTCAGGGGTGGGAGAACTGAGCAGGTGTCTCCCAGAGCAGGTGACCTTTGAGGTGGACTTTGAGGGATGAGTCAGAAGGGACTTCCAAGCGGAGGGAATGGCAGGGAAGGGTGAGGAAATGTGAGGGGAATGGTTCCTGACGCGGAGCCAAACCAGGGCACGGGGGTTAGTGGGAGAGGGCAGAAGTCAGCAAATGTTTTTAAGCTGGGAAATGAACCATTGCAGACAGATCTTTCCCTATGGGCCGTGGAGCAGAAGGGGGGACACCAGGTAGGAGGCGAGGCTGGTCCGGGTTAAAGGTCTTGAGATGGTAACTGAAAATGTGAGAATGATGTGGAGCCTGTGTGTGTGTGTGTGTCTTGAGATGGTAACTGAGAATGTGAGAATGAGGTGGAGAGCACGTGTGTGTGTGTGTGGACTGGGACAGCCAGGGTGTGCACCTGCAGTCAGGGCAGGATGGAGACAGGCCAACCCCAAGGGGCCACCCTCCACCCAGGAGCTGAGAGCTTCTGGGGCCAGGATGGCTAGCTTCCCTCCCACCCTCGCCTTCACTGCTTGGAACCCACGGCAGCTAGTGCTGTTTCACGGCCTCATTCCTCCCCCTAGAGGCTCCTGAAAGCAGAGCCACTTTGGGTGAGTGGTTTTGCAGCTTGAAGGTCTCCATGGTCCCCAGAGTTGTGAGGTCAAGCCCTTGGTCCTCCTCAGACAGGCATGTGAGCCCTTTTAGGAGCTAAGGGAAATCAAACAAGAAAGCCCTAACCAAGATTCACTGAAGGCAGCGTTAGGGATCATGCTGTCCTGCTTGCAAGGTGGGGAGAGGCGCTCTTACTGAATCACTCCATCTCTGGAGTTAGACGCACAGGATCCCAGCCTGGATCCCCCTCACAAGCTGTGACCTTGAGCAAGTGGTTTTACCTCGCTAAGCCTTAAGTGCCTCATCCATGAAACAGACATAAGACCACCCATCTCAGAGGTGTTCAAGCTGTGATAATCAGCCTGATCATATAATTTATTGTCAAAACCAAGGTTGCTGTTTACCCAGGGGGAGCCAGGAAATCTGTATGGTGACTTGAGTAAAGGTGGATATAAAAACAATCTGAGTATAAAGCCATGTGCGGAGTTAGTATTGTTAATGCAGATGCTGAACAGAACTGTCGGAACTCCGATGTGACCTGCCAGTATTTCCTGGGCTGGGGTCTGGTCTCCAGCCAACATCAGAGAGGCCTGTCCAGTCCATTTCCCTGATTGATTCACTCACCTCGGACCTGGCTGACCCAAGATACTCACTCCAGAGAAGTGGGAGAATGCAGACCTGGGGTTCAGCTGGGGGCCGGCTCCCCAGTCAGAGGGTATCCACAGGGGCCATCCCAACCCTGGGCTGGGGGTTGGCCCAACACTTTCTCTGCACCAAGATCATGACTCTGGGCAAACCCTGTTTACCAGAGCAGCAAAGGGCCTATTTATAGCCTCAGCTGCTCCTTTCTCTGGGTCACGGGTGAGGGGGCAGGGTAGCTTCTCAGAGCAAGGGTGGCAGTCAGGCGAGGGAACCAGCCCTGCCCAGCTGCTGCCACCCAGACTCCTGGATCCCTCGCCCTGGGCCCCCCGCCATGGCGGAGGAGACCTTCCCCTTCACCTCCTCCACCCTGCGCTCTCTCCGCCTGCAGCGGGAGTGGCTGGAATGGGAGGACCGGCGGCGGGCAGCAGCCCAGCTGTGCCGGAGCCAAAGATGCCCCCCAAGTTCCCAGGCCCGGCTCACTAGGCCACGCCGCTCCTGCCGGGACCCAGCTGTGCACAATGCCCTGTTCTCCGGTGACCTGCAGCAGATCCAAGCCCTGTTCCAAGATGAAGACGCTGCCAACATGATTGTGGAGACTGTGAGCAACCAGCTGGCCTGGTCAGCTGAACAGGGTAAGGAGCACCCGCTGGGAGCAGAAGAGGAGGGGTAGGGAGGAAGGTAGGGGTGGGGATGGGAGAGAGCCCGGGCCAAATCTCCCCTCTCCAGACCAGAGAATAGACCATCCCCTCCCACTGCCCATTTTAGATCCCTCTTAAACAGAGCTGACGCATACTTAATGGTTTGATGTCTTTTTCAGAATTAAAGTTGTATTAGGAGGGAAGCCCATACTAAGGATTATATAACAACAATGTATCCTGCTTGAGGACTTGCCTGGTGGCTCAGATGGTAAAGTGTCTGTCTACAATGTGGGAGACCCGGGTTCGATCCCTGGGTCGGGAAGATCCCCTGGTGAAGGAAATGGCAATCCACTCCAGTACTATTGCCTCGAAAATCCCATGGACAGAGGAGCCTGGTAGGCTACAGTCCATGGGGTTGTGAAGAGTTGGACACAACTGAGCGATTTCACTTTAACATGTTGTTGGAATTACATAGAAATACATGTATGTGTACCAAGTCTGACTCTATGGACTGTAGCCCACCAGGTTCCCCTATCCATGGGATTCTCCAGGCAAGAATACTGGGGTGGGTTGCTATTTCCTTCTCCAGGGGATCTTCAAGACCCAGGGATCGAACCCATGTTTCTTGAGTTTCTTGTATTGGCAGGAGGGTTCTTTACCACTTGTGCCACCTGGGAAGCCCACATAGAAATACAGTTATATTCTAATGCAATTTTTTTCTCTGGATATATATCCACACGAATATTTTTTCTCTCATAGAATGAAATTATACACCAGATGCTATTTATAGCCTGATTTTTTTCATGTAACATGCTTCTGTGGCAATAACCATAAGTCCATATAATATTTTAAATGGATGCATAAATTCTATTGTATGGTTGGCCCATGATTTATACAGTGTTAGTCTCTCAGTCATGTCCAACTCTTTGAGACCCCATGGACTATACCCCACCAGGCTCCTCTGTGCATGGGATTTTCCAGGCAAGAATACTGGAGTGGGTTGCCATTTCCTTCTCCAGGGGATCTTCCCAACCCAAGAATCAAACATGGGTCTTCTGCATTGCAGGTAGATTCTTTACCATCTGAGCCACCCAGGGAAACCCAATAGATTGGTTAGATTAGGTTCCTTTTTAAAAATCTACTTTAAATAACAATATGACCAACATCTTTGTATCCTTAGGATCTATTCTGACCAGTGTTTGTCCATGTAAACCAAATGATAATAAATCAACTATCTGCCAATAAAAACTAATTTTAAAAAAGATCGCTCCATTCTTAAGATTGACAGGAGAAAAGAAGAAAAAAAAAAAAAGACCAAAGACAAAAAAAGAGGAAAAAAAAACCAACACACACACAAAAGGAAAACTGATTAACAGGAATTTGCTTCAACCCCCATCTATGGATTTGGGGGTTCAAAATCCTTGAAGAATTTATGCTGTTAGTCACCACTGGCTCCAAAGTCCTTCAGCTGTTAGAGATGTGACCCCACCCAGGGCATCTCGGTCTTATTCTGCAGCACGTCCCCCATCTTCCAAATGGAAATTGGCCTTAATTTCAACCTTAATAAAAAACAAAACATATTTTACCCAAGATTTAGGAAACCCAGAGATTCACTTCACTACAATGCAAACAATTCACAGTAGGATATTAGGCATCTATGTCCTTCGAACAAGACCTTGGCTAATTTCTACAACTTGGATCCAACACCAGTCCCAAGATCAACCCCTCCTCCTACCCTTCCTTTCCCCATCCCCGCCTCTTATCCCCCACCCTCCACCCTTCCCCACACTTTCACCCCACCCTCCCCACCCCAGGAATATCCTAGGACTTCTTCAGCTTTCCTCTGGCTACTCCCCAAGTCAGTTCCAGGCCCTTCTGTGCATAACTCCTTCCCCTCCCAAATATTAGAGCGCCCAAGTTAACAAAAAGAGCCAAGGACTCCACCAGCAGCTCAAAGACCCAGAAGTTTCCCTTGTAGTTTTAAAGAGCAATTAAGGGAATTTGCTGGCAGTCTAGTGGTTAGGACTCAGCACTCTTACTGCCAGGGCCCAGGTTCAATCCCTGATCAGGGAACTAAGATCCCACAAGCTGCTGAGTAGGGCCAAAGAAAAAAAAAAGAGCAATTAAATGTTTCTTTCTATGACACATATGTTTTTCACAGACTGACAAACTGTTCTAAAAGGCTGTTCCAGATTACACTCCCAAATGGGGGCTTGAGGGAGCCCCTCTCCACAGGTACAGATGGGCACAGGGTTTTTGCTCAGCCCAACGTGCAGAGTTGTACACGACAGCATGCCCTGCCCGCTGGCCTCATACCCACCCCCCCCTAAAACTGCCTGCTCTCTCCAGGGTTCTGGGTGCTGACCCCCAAGGCCAAGCACACTGCACCTCTCACCATCGCTGCTGCCCGAGGCTACACCAACTGTGCCCGCTACCTGATTCGGCAGGGAGCTGAGCTGGATGCACGGGTTGGCGGCCGGGCAGCCTTGCACGAGGCCTGTGCCCGGGCCCAGTTTGACTGTGTGCAGTTGCTGGTGACCTTTGGCGCCAAGGTCAACGTGTTGTCCGAGGAAGGCACCACCCCCTTGCACCTCTGCACAGTCCCCGAGTCCTTACAGTAGGTGCCCAGGGGCTGAGACGGTTTCGGGAGGCGGAGTGTGTGCATGTGAGTGTATGTGTCTCCAGCTCACCTAACAGAAGACATCTCCTCAAAGCAGCTTGGGAGACAGGTCTCATTCTATGAGGATAAAACTGAGACTCAGAAAGGTTTAGTGACCTCTCCAAGGTCACATCAGCTAAGCCCAGGAAGCAGAAGCCCTGTTGCTTTGGGGGAAAACTCTTTTCAACTGCAGTTTCCTATTGCCTGGGAACCCTTTGCAGCCACATTCCTAGTTTAGAGGTAGGCATCAAGAAAGATCTGACCCAGTGTTTTTCCATCTTAATATGAGGCACACCTCCTCTTCCCACCTTTTTAAGGTCAACAGTTTCTTGGACCCTCTACATGATGGTATTTGCACTTTTACAAGTCAGGCCCATAGATAGGGCTGGCGGGGGTAAGGAGTCAAAGTCTCCTGGAAGACATTTCACAGCCCCAGTGCTGGGGCCCTCTCCCCATGTAGATCTAGATCAGTGATGGACCCAGAAACAATCCAAAATTTCAAGTCCTTTCTTGAGTTTTTATGGGCATGTGGTGCACTTTCCAGCAGACTTGATCCTTTTTTTCCCCCAATTGTTTATTTTATTTATTTCTGGCTGCACTGGGTCTCCCTTGCTGCCTAATGGCTTTCTCTAGTTGTGGTGAGTAGGGGCTACCCTCTAGTTGCAGCACTTCGCCTTCTCATTGGGGTGGCTTCTCTTGTTGAAGAGCACGGGCTCTAGGCATGCAGGCTTCAGTAGCTGTGGCATGTGGGCTCAGTAGTTGTGGCAGATGGGCTTAGTTGCTCCGTGGCATGTGGAATCTTCCGGGATCAGGAATCAAACCCATGTCCCCTGCATTGGCAGGTAAATTCCAACCACTGGACCACCAGGGAGGTCCAGACTTAATCCTTTTAAGTGAAATGAGAATGGAACCTGACTGAGTGAGCTGCTTCGAGTTATTTAAATTTAATATATACAATAGAAACAAAAATTAGTCTATGATTAGAATTTACCAAGAAAATAGATTATGTAATTTGTGGCTGGCTGGATGCTGCTCAACTCTTGGTCCTGAGCATGCAGTGAAGGGAGCTGGAACTCTTGTTTTGGGGAATGACACTTGGTCATCATGGTTTCATTGGAGTCTGACAAATCTGCTCCTGAGTTTCCAGTGGCTACTGTTCTGGCTTTTAAAATTACCGTTAGTTTAGTGTCATCATTAATTTAGTTTGCAAGCATGTTTGGTTTACCCCGTGGTGGTTTAATGATGCGTATTTGCCTCAACAGTTGTTTGACCTATAATTTTTCCAGGAACTAGAAGACTGAACCAGTGTTCCCTAAAGCTGTGCTCAGTATAGACTGTGCTCCCTAAAATCTGGTTTTGTTTGTTCGGGTTTGGTTGTTTTCTCTAGAGGGAGTGGAATAACGGGGACACCCAAATGACCTTCCTTTGCGGGAGTGGGTGTGGCTGGCCAAGAAGGGTGGTCTTCATATTTGGGAAACCCTTCATGTTTGGAGGCAGGAAGAAAATACTAATTACGACTTTGGACTTTTTTTTTTCTTTAACTTATTAGGACTTCTATTTCTATTTTCTTTGGTGGTAGTGGGGGAAGGGTTACACTCAATTTTCTATGCTTCATAGTGTATAGATTAGTGGGTTTTCAAAACTCTTTTTGAAAAGTGGCTATCAAAATGTTAGGAGAGACCACTCACAGGTGATTCAGAACTAGGCCTTGGGGTCCCAATCTGATAGGGGAGTCAGGTTAGATTCTGGGAGGGACAGTCTCAGGCAGTATTAATTCCCCTGCAGTCACTAATTTGCTGTGTGTCCTGGGTTGCACTACAACCTTTCTGGGCTGAAAACCGAAATGCTCCAGGTGGCTTGGTTGGGCCGTCCTGCTCTTCTGTCTAGTCACGGGGCCTCCATGAGTCTGGTGGTGGTCACCAGGCTCGCCTGAGCCAAGAGGGTTGGGAAGAAGCAGTCAGGGATGACAGGATTTGCCTCGCGGGTCTTGTACCCTGTCCCCAGGTGCGCCAAGCTGCTGCTGGAGGCGGGAGCGACTGTGAACTTGGCCGCGCGAGACAGCGAGGTGACGCCCTTGCACGTGGCGGCGGCGCGTGGCCTGGAGGAGCACGTGGCTCTCTACCTGCAGCACGGCGCCGACGTGAACCTGCGCACCAGCCAGGGCGAAACGGCCCTGAACGCGGCGTGTGCTGGGGCAGAGGGGCCGAGCAGCAGCCGACGCCACCAGGCGGCCGCGCGCCGGCTTCTGGAGGCTGGGGCCGATGCCCGGGCGGCCGGACGCAAGCGCCACACGCCGCTGCACAACGCCTGTGCCAACGGCTGCGGGGGCTTGGCCGAGCTGCTGCTGCACCACGGGGCCTGCGCAGCGGCCCCGAACGGGGCGGGCCACACACCCATGGACTGCGCACTGCAGGCTGTCCAGGACGCCCCCAACTGGGAGCCCGAGGTCCTCTTTGCCGCGCTGCTGGACTATGGGGCCCAGCCTGTGCGCCCAGAGGTGAGAGGCTCCTGGCGGGCAGGGGGTGCCTGGAACTGAAATTGCCCAGCCACCGGGGAAGAGAGGCCAAAAGATAGAGAGCCCATCGTCTATGCCGGAGGGCGGTCCCCATCTCGGGAAGGACCAGCGAGAGTTATGGAGGAGAGTCTCAACAGAGAAAAAAGCCCCCAAGGAGATTGGAACACACTTGAAATGTGGGATAAACTGAGGCTAGAGAAGGATTAGGAGGGACTCAGATCTTGGCATCTCAAATTTGGATGTTAACTATAGTGGCCCAAGCTGGGTGGTAGAAGCATGGTGCCCTTAAGAATCTCATTTGCTTTCTAGATGCTGAGACACTGTGCCAACTTCCCTCGGGCCCTAGAAGTCCTGCTTAATGCCTACCCTTGTGTCCCATCCTGTGATACCTGGGTGGAGGCCGTGCTCCCGGAGTTGTGGCAGGTATGTCCACCCCACCGGCACAGCTCCTTCCTGGGCTCTGGGGGAGGTAGAGAGGAAGGGTGAACCCTAGGCCTATACCCCCAGGATGGGCTTCCTGGAAGTAGGAGCAAGGGGAACCCTGGACTGGAGGAGGATGGGCAGAGTGAAACCTCTAGAACAACCTTTAATTACACATACCTCTCTAGCCTCTCTCTTACCTGCATCAATATAGACATTTATCAGGCATCTCTGACTCAGTAGACAGCACTGTTGGAGTGGGGGGAGGTGGGTGTAGACATGGCTGAGACCCTGCCCTGCAGTGTGGTCTCAACTCCCGTGACCCCTGCAGGGCCTTTGGTTCTGAATCTGAGTCCTGTGAGATACACTACATGCCCAGGTGGATCCATGTTGTAGAATCTCAGGGCCCCACCACTAGGTCGCCCCCAGAGGGAAGGGTGTTGGGCCATCTGACCCTGTTCCACTCCTGGCCTAGGAGCACGAAGCCTTCTACAGCTCGGCCCTGAGCATGGTGAACCAGCCAAGACGGCTGCAGCACCTGGCCCGGCTGGCTGTGCGTGCTCAGCTGGGTGGCCGTTGCCGGCAGGCTGCCTCCTGCCTCCCCCTGCCCCCGCTCCTCAAGAACTACTTGCTGCTGCGTGTGGAGGGGCGTATCCAGTGAGCCCCGTGCCCAGCTGCTCCCAGAGCGTGTCCTGCCCCCTCCATCAGTCATCCCTCCCAACTCTGGAGGACCAGTCCCTGACCTTCTTGCCCACACTCTCGTCCACATGTCCTCCGGGGCCAGCTCATCCATTTATTTGCTTCTTGAGCCACCTGCTGACCTCCAGCCTGACCTGAACTTCAGCTCCTGTCTCCAATGGGAAGGTCTGCAGATACAACCTTTGCCTGCATCCTCCTCCTTTGCCTAAGTGGGTGATGATCCAGGCCGACCCCAAGCCAGGAGGAAGTGATCTTATCATCCCCTCTCCCCTGCTCCCCATGTACCCGTTCAGCCTCCTAGGGAGGGACAGACTCTGCCTCTAGCTGTACTGCCAATGCCCGATCTACCTTTGTCACCTTGAGGGAGGACCTCACTGACTGGTCTTGAAATCCCCATGCAAGGATGCTGGAATGACCTTTGGGAATCAGAGCTCTGATCATGACCTTCAGTGGCTCTACACTACCTTCAGGCTAATATCAAAACTCAACAAGGCAGAATAAGTATTTAGTCCCTGCCTCCACCAAGCTCTCTGGCCTCCTGATCCCCCTTTCCCTTTCTAAGGCTCCTGTAGCCCAGCCTTAGCAAATGAGTTACTGGATTGTCAGATGTGAGCTGCTCCCCTTAGCTTCCACGGATCTACTTGTGCTGTTCCCTCTGTTTGGTCTACCCTTCCCACATATTTTTTGCCCTGGTTGAAGCTGATATGATCCTCAAGACTCAACCCAATAGCCCTCTCTCTGCAGAGCCTATTTCGACAACTCCAGTAGGTAGCCTTCCTTGGCATTGTACTTATTTATTTAGGAACCTGTATCTGCCTCAATGACACTGAGACTGGATTATATTCCTTAAACAGGCCTTTCAGGAAGTGGCTGTTGAGGGAGAAAGAAATGCATGATGCCCGTGACCCATTTATGGTTGTGTTCCCCACCCACCCGTGATGCACAGTGTCTTAAAACTATGGTCTTTGTGGTCTTTGAGGATCTGTGACAGGACAACCAGCCATCAGCTTTCCCCTACTCCCTCTCACTTCCTCCATTGGTCCCAGAGTCAAAATTACCACTACTCATCCTTAAGAGGAAGCTTTGTAAGCTAAGCCAGTTTTTATGAATGCGAATAAATGATTTGTGCTCAGACCAAAGCGTGGCTGTTGTTAGGTTGAAATATGCCTGAGATACCTATCGCTCCATGTTTATTCCCCATCCTTTGTACTCTTCTGTGATTCCCAAGTTTTCTGCACAGATCAGTTGCTACTCTTGTGATAGGAAAAAGGGTGTAAGAACAACACAGGACTTCCCTGGTGGTCCAGTGGTTAAGAATCCACCAGCCAATGCAGGGAACAAGGGTTTGATCCCTGGTCAGGGAAGATCCCATGTGCCTAGGGACAACTAAGCCCATGTGCCACAACTACTGAGCCCATGCACCAAGAGCCCATGCTCTGCAACAACAGAAGCCACCGCAAGAGAGCCCACACACTGCAACTAGAGAGCAGCCTCTGCTTGCCACAACTAGAAAAAGCCAGTGTGCAGCAACGAAGACCCAGCACCACCAAAAATAATTAAATTTAAAATTGTGTTTTTTTAAAAAACGTACAACAACAGGAACCTTTCCAGACCCTGAACTTGCAGCACCCACTGGAGGAGGTGGCTGTCAGCAGCCTGTTCTCCTGTCCGTTTGCTGAGGTGAGGGACTCTGGGCTCTCCACTGTCACTGCCATGTGGGGTCACACGGTAGAGATGGATCAGGAGTCCTGGGTCAGCCTCTTGCAGCTGCTGCCCAGCCTCCCCTCCTCTGCAGAGAGTTGCATCTGTAGGTATTTCCTTTCAACAACTGGAAGACAATCTTTGACCTCATTATACAGAGTAGCAACCTCTCCTTTCTGGATGAAATTTTTGCTTTAATTTCACAGATCCAAAAGGCCATGTGAAGAGAGGGAAATACCCTCTAGTCCTGGGGCTGAACTGCCCCAGGAAAGGAAACTGCCAGGAGCCTCACTCTCAGGGGAGGATGCTAAGCTGTCTCCCGCTTTAGAGCAGGCAGACCCCAGTGAGTGTGGCTTTTTCTGTTATACTTACAATGACAAGATACCCAATTTGGGGCTTTAAAAAGCCCCAAAGACACATGTGATTATGTATCTGATTTTGGGATGAGATTTTTTCCATGTAAAAGCATAAAAGAAAAAAGACTCATCTCTCTGGATACAGAAGAAAATTTAAATTTGGTTATAAAAGCACTGAATCATAAACACAAGTAAAAGGCAAAATGTTGACAAAATTATCTGCCACTAAAAGATTTCATTTTCTTGATTTCTAAGGGCAGGAATGACATCTGTTTTATTTACCATTGCTGACTTGGTGCTTGTACAATGTCTTGCAGAGAGTGGACACGCAAATATCTGTCAAAGTAATGAATGGTCATGCTCAATCTCACCAGTAATTAAGGAAATGCAAATTAAAACAACAATAAGATATAATTCTCTTACTAGATTGAGGGACTGTTTTTTCCTGGCTGTGCCACACAGTTTGCAGGATCTTAGTTCCCTGACCAGGGATTGAATCGGGCCACTGTGGTGAAAGCACCTAACCACTGGACCGCCAGGGAATTCCTGCGGGGGATACATTTAATTTTTTTTTTGCGGGGGTGGGGTACATTTTAAAGACTTAATACGTAGTACCTGTGAAGATTTGGAGACACAAGTTCTTGCTCATCCTAGGGGGTCAGAAAGGAAACTGCCTCTTTGATGGGCAATTAAGCAATGCCCTTCAGTTGCTCCCCAGTTACACCAAAGGCTGGTACACATGGCAGTATTCATCCCAGCCTTGCTTGCAACAACTCAACATGTAGGAAATGGTAAACAAATCCACACTGTGGAATACAATTCAGTCCTTACAAAGGGTATACCCACAGCAGGAGATATCTGGGCATAAAGTCCAAGTGACGAGAACATGTACTGCCTTGGGAAAGATTACCAAGACTATTACCAAGGTTGAAATAGAACATGTACAGCAAGGAAAACCAAAGCTCATGACTGGAGATGAATAGAAAAAGGATTGAAAGGCAAGTGCCCAAGAATTTCCTCTGAGGAGGAGAGAGGAACTGTGCCAGTGGGGCTTTTTATGATCTGCATTTGAATTTTTGATAAAGGGGTGTACCCATGGATTCTTGTGAAATTTAAAGAAAAATTGAAGGGAAGAAAAGGCAAAAAGCCTAAACTGTTAATTTACAAGGTGGTTGATGAAACATGACAAATGTGCTAGCTCACTAGCAATCCAGTGAATGTAAAGGAACAGACACCCCTCTGCCTAGCAAATGGGCAAACATGAAACAACTTATCTAGTGGTTAGGGAAGGAGTACTTTCTGATTTTTTATAAAATGGATTTACTATAAACATAGTGAGAGTTGGACTGTGAAGAAAGCTGAGAGCAGAAGAACTGATGCTTTTGAACTGTGGTGTTGGAGAAGACTCTTGAGAGTCCCTTGGACTGCAAGGAGATCCAACCAGTCCATCCTAAAGATCAGTCCTGGGTGTTCATTGGAAGGACTGATGCTGAAGCTGAAACTCCAATACTTTGGCCACCTCATGCAAAGAGTTGACTCATTGGAAAAGACCCTGATGCTGGGAGGGATTGGGGGCAGGAGAAGGGGACGACAGAGGGTGAGATGGCTGGATGGCATCACCGACTCGATGGACATGAGTTTGAGTAAACTCCGGGAGTTGGTGATGGACAGGGAAGCCTGGCATGCTGCGATTCATGGGGTCGCAAAGAGTCGGACATGACTGAGCGACTGAACTGACTGGCTGACTGAAGGCAACATCCAGGATTCACAGATACATTCATCTCTCCATAGCCATCATGATTTGACATAAAGGTATAAAAATACCCAAGTTCAATATTTTAGGAAAAATAAACTGATAAGGACCTAAGACCCATTAAAATATTCTGTTAATTTTAAATGATTATTACATATAAGAGGCCAGCTTTAGATAGTGATATAGTTCCAACTGAAGTCTTCATTCTTTCCTTTCTTTTCCCCTCATAATTCCTCCACCATCAAAAACTTAACCCCAAGGCTTTTTTGGTGGTCCAGTGATTTAAGAGTCTGTCTGCCAATGCAGGGCATATAGGTTCAGTCCCTGTTCTGGAAAAATCTCACATGCCACGGAACAACTAAGCCCATCCACCACAATCACTGAATCTGCGCTCTAAAGCCCATGAGCTGCAACTACTGAACCTGAGCACTAAAGCCTATGCTCTGAAACGAGAATCTACCCATAATAAGAAGCCCATGTATGCTAATGAAGAGTAGCCCCCGCTCACTGCAAATAGAGAAAGCCTGCATGCAGTAACAAAGCTTCACCACAGCCAAATATATATATGTATACACATATATGTATAATAAATCTTGAAAAACCCTAATCCCAAGTCCCTCTCTCAAAAGGTGGCCCTAGTGGTAAAGAACCCATCTCCCAGTGCAGAAGATGCAAGACGCAAGATGCGGGTTTGATCCCTGGGTCAGGAAAATCCCCTCGAGGAGGCCATGACAACCTATTCCATATTCTTGCCTGGAGAATCCCATGGACAGAGGAGCCTGCGGGCTACCAGTCATAGGGTTGCAAAGAGTCAGAGTGACTTAGCATAGCAGGACTCAAAACACCCTTAACTCATCCTGTCCTTTGCTGTACACATTCACAAAATGCATCCCTAGCTCTTCCCCATCTTCTCTGAATTGCATCTATCATTTGCTTAATAAATTTTTATCAAGTATTCGCTGCATGCAGGCACTGGATAGACTTTGAGAATACTGGAATAAAAACAAAACATAGCCCCCGCTCGCCACAACTAGAGAGTAGCCCATGCAGCAGCTAAGACCCAGCACAGCCAAAAAGAAAGAAAAACCCCTCAGACAAAAGTGCAACAGGGACTAAAACTAATACTCGTACATTAATAATGTGTTCATAGAAACATTATTTATAATACCCCAAAGGTGGAAACAACACAAATGTCCACTGATAGATGATTGGATTAAAAATGGGATATATACGTTCAGCTGTCACGATCCAAAAAGTTTGATGAAAGAGAAAATTCTTTGGGACAGAATAGTTTTTTCACAACAAACAATGTTTGCAATCAGAATCAAGAAATAGCTTCTAGACATTCATCATTAAAGCAATGATGAGGAAAGCAAAAAAAAAAAAAATGGGATATATATACACACAATGGAATATTGCTCAGCCTTAAAAAGCAGTGAAATTTTGATACAGTCTACAACATAGATAATCCTTGAAAACATCCTAAGTGAAATAAACCAGACAAAAAGGATAGATATTGTATGATTCCATTTACATGAGTTACCTAGAATAGGCAAATTCACAGAAGACAGTAGAATAAAGTGGGGAGGAGGAAAAATGGATACAATTAAATGGATAGTAATGATGGGTACACAAGACTGAATTAATACCACTAAATTAGTTACTTTAAATAGTTAAGAATGGTAAGTTTTATTTATATTTTACCACAATAAAAAAGGCTGAAAAATAAAAAAAGAAGCCATATACCAAGAGTACATACTGTTTGATTCCACTCGTACAAAATACAAAGCCAGAAAACTAATGTATGGTGGCAGAAATCAGAATAGTGACTACTCTTTGGAAGTTAGTGGCTGGAAGAGGACTGAAGGGCCGTTCTGCGGTCATTTTCTGTTTCTTGATCTGAGTCCCGGTTCCACCGATGTGTTCAGTTGGTGAAAACTACCGAGCTCTTCGCTTTTGAGTTTGCCCGTCTGTATTATTTATACTTCAATCAATAGTTCACCGGAAAACAACAGCATCCCCCCACCCCGCCACAGAACGTCTTTAGAACAAATTTTAATTGCAAAAACCCTCTTGTAAGCTGAACCATTTTCCCCTTTCTTGGGGCTCCTGCTTTTCCCGTGCCCTAAGCCTGCAATGAATCTGTGCCTTCTTTGACATGGTTTCTTGCCTTATTTACCAAGGTTCCACACTACCTGGGGCCGCATTCTCCGAGAACCGGACGGTGATTAAATTGTCCTCTCGTCTAGCCCCGAGTTGAACTCTTGGAGGTCAGAAAGACCAGTCTCGGCTGATTCCGCTAACCCAGAGCTCAATACGCAGACCAGTTGCAGACCAGTAATAAAACCAATCAGCCCGGGAGGCTTGGAGAAAGGCCGGAAGAAGAAAGTTGCGAAGAGGAAAAAGACGCTCTACTCTGCCCAGTGGTGCCAACCTGCTTGAACTTCCAGATGCGAAGCCACACCCCTTCCCCCAACACCTCCCCTAATTTCCTCCTGGCCCCACCCCTTAACCCTTGATTCCGTAAACCCCGCCCACTAGGCGTGGCTCTGCCCTGGGAGGACCAGGATCCCGCCAACCATAACTCCGCCCCTCCTTCCGCGAAGAAACCTGTCCCTTTTATTTAAAGAATACGTTTACGTAAGCCCGCTTTACGTAGATTTTCGTCATCCTTGTAAGGCAAGGGGGCGGAACTTCCTGTCTCTGGTTATAACAGCTTCCGGGAGAAGCCGGAAGAGACCGTACCCTGGGTAGAAACGGGGCTAGCCAGCCCCTCCCCCGGCCCCTACGGAAAGGTGAGTCCACAGGCCGTCTTGGCGAAGTCAAAACACTTATTCTGGCCGTTTCAGGTGAGGCCTTCCTTCCTTATCCAGGCGTAGTACCCGTCCAGTCCCCCTTTAATTTCCCATGTTCCTCTGCGTATTCAAGCCCCGCCCCCAGTGTCCCAGCCCCGCCCCGAAGTTTGAGGGGTGTGGATGGTTTGTGACCCCCTCACTCGATTCTACCCCTCGCTGGCTGGGAGAAACGGGTTTGGGTACAGCAGTAGGAACTAGGCAGCCGTTTGGCTCGAGTGGCCCCACGGACCCCTCTCCAGCGCCGCGGGAATAGGACCGCCCAAACGCGGAGCCTTCGCGTCAGGAAAGGCAAGATCGGACACCCCTCCTCACCGTGCCATCAGGGTCGCTCACAGGTTGAGGAGAGCAAAGGCCTCTGAGAAGGGAAACTTGGGGTCCTAACCGGTCCCTCTCCTCGAAAGTTCCCCGTGCCTGTGCCAAGTCGTTTTTGCCTCTGTTCCCGGCAGTTTCCTTTTCTGTAAATCAGGGTTAATGACAACCTTCTTACCATCAGGGGTTAGTTGTGGGAGTGATAAATAATTGGTACTATTTGTTTACTAAACAATTGCAATGTGCCAGGCACTGTTCTAAGTATTTTGCTTCGATGATTTCCCGTCATCTTCAAAACAACCTTATGAGGTAGGTACTATTTTTAACCCCATTTTACTGATGAGAAAGCTGAGGCTCTAAGAAAATTGAGGTTATAGAGCTAGTAAGAGGCAAGACGAAGGTTATAATTAGTTTTGGGGTTTCTGTTTTCCTGACTCCAGGGCCCACATATCAAATTAGGAGGTGAAAAACTATTCACATGTTGGTATGTTCCACAAATATTTTTTGAGCAACTGCTATGGGATTATTCTGGGGATTATTCTGGGCGCTGTGGTACATAGAGAAATACATGTGATCTTTCAGGAGTTTAGTGGAGAGATGGGCAGGTAGATAAGTCACTGTGAGAACAATCAGGTTATGATGATCATCAGACTGCATTTGCCCAAGGACAGCTGTGAAAGCAGCAGATTCTCCAAGGGAAGGAGGTGCTCCAAAGAGCAAACAGAGATCCTTCCTACCTTTCTAAGGAACTGTCAAGGAAGAACACATTACAGGAAGGGAGATTGTGATATGGGCTGTGGGAGCCATTTTGGAATCTTTTCTAAACCAGTTTCATGCAAGTAGTGGTTTTGTAGTTGTGAGCCTATGGTCACCTAGGAGGGTAGTGTTTCTGGTGTCTGTCCTGCTTTGCTGCCAGAAGAATTTCAGAGGAGACACAGTGTCTGCTGATGGTCCCTACAGAGGTGTCCCTTTGGGGTGGTCTGACTTTGCTCTTGATAAGTTGATTCTTTGGCTCTTGACATCTGGATTTCCATCCATGGTTCAATGAGAGTGGGTTCAAATGACACAATCTTGCAAGAGTGGCTCTACTGTGCCTCCAAAGGAACTCCCAAATAAAATACTCCAGGCTTTTTTGGTCCCTCTGAGGCCACCTTAGAGGCATCTCAGGGGAGCACAGTTGCTTTACGAGAGAAATCCTAGAGAAACTCAGGGCTGAAAGCAGCAAATGTTTTTCCCCATCTCCCAAAAAAGCAACAGACAGTAACAGCAGCAGCAACAAAGCTGTAACATTTTCCTGATGATCCATGTTTATTGGGGGGTTGGAATGTGAGAGAAGAAGGGTGTGGAACCTGAAAGCCAGCATTTCACAATAGAGGCGAAGAGTAAATCCTTAGCTATAGATTTGGGGTCCAGAGTTAGGTTTGTGTCTCTAGGATACTGAACTGCATTTTCTTTCAGGGCCAGGTCAGTTAGAACCTAAACAAACAAGAAACCTGGTTGCAACCTCTCATGCCCTGCTGATACTGTCCCCCTTTGTTCCTGCAGTGTGGACCCAGTCAGCAACCAGGCCATGGAGCTCTCTGATGTCACCCTTATTGAGGGTGTGGGTAATGAGGTGACTGTGGTGGCAGGTGTGATGGTGCTGATTCTAGCCTTGGTCCTAGCTTGGCTCTCTACCTACGTAGCAGACAGCGGTAGCAACCAGCTCCTGGGCACTATTGTGTCAGCTGGCGACACATCCGTCCTTCACCTGGGGCATGTGGACCATCTGGTAGCGGGCCAAGGCACCCCAGAGCCAACTGAACTCCCCCATCCATCAGAGGGTAATGATGAGAAGGCTGAAGAGGCTGGCGAAGGTGGGGGAGACCCCACAGGGGAACCTGGAGCCGGGGGTGGTGTTGAGCCCAGCCTTGAGCATCTGCTTGACATCCAAGGCCTGCCCAAAAGACAAGCAGGCCCAGGAAACAGCAGTCTGGAGGCACCTGTGAGATCGGAGGATAGCACCTGCTTGCCTCCCAGCCCCAGCCTCATCAGCGTGCGGCTCAAATTCCTCAATGACACGGAGGAGCTGGCTGTGGCCAGGCCAGAGGATACCGTGGGTGCTCTGAAGAGGTACGTGGGCTGGGAAGTGTCAAGTGCAGTCCCTATGGGGCAGGTGGGGGAATCCTTCCTTAGAAACCCACCCTGCAATTTTCCCCCACCCCCCAGCACCTTGCCTTTCGGCCTTCTCATTCCTCGCCCTCTTTCCTTCTGTCTCACCCTCACAGTAAATACTTCCCTGGACAGGAGAGCCAGATGAAACTGATCTACCAGGGTCGCCTGCTGCAGGACCCAGCCCGCACACTGCGTTCCCTGAACATTACCGACAACTGTGTGATTCACTGTCACCGCTCACCCCCTGGGTCAGCTGTTGCAGGCCCCTCGAGCTCCCTGGCCCCCTCGGCCACTGAGCCACCCAGCCTCGGCGTCAGTGTGGGCAGCCTCATGGTGCCTGTGTTTGTGGTGCTGCTGGGTGTGGTCTGGTACTTCCGTATCAATTACCGCCAGTTCTTCACAGCACCTGCCACAGTCTCCCTCGTGGGGGTCACCGTCTTTTTCAGCTTCCTAGTATTTGGGATGTATGGACGATAAGGACCACAGGGAGAAAAATGAAAGGCATGGTTTTCCTCCTTTATGGCCTCCCCCCATTCCTGGCCATAGCTGGGCCCAAGGGCCTGGGAGGGAGGGGTGGAAAAGATGTGGTGGGCCCTCCTCCATAGGACTCAGGAGGTAGGCACGGGCATTCCCCTCACGTCCATGAGGGGACAGACATTCCCTCTGTGCAAGCACAACTCAGGTAGAAATGAGAATGTCATCTTCCTTCACTTCTAAGGTCCTAAAGTTCAGAACTGAGCTGGTGACCCAGCTCAACAGGGAGCCAGGGCTCTGAGGATTCCCTCCCAGCCATGGCCCTAGCTCTTTCCATTATCCTGCATGTCTGCTCCTCTGCCCCCAGGGCTGCCTGCCAGGGCAGCTCAGCATGGCCCCAGCATTTCTGTAGGGAACCTGGAGTCTCTGGGTTTCCTAGTGGAACATCCTTCTTTTGAGCCTAAAATCATACAGGCAGGAGTGAAGTTTGTGTCAGCTTTCCCTGTGGGCACCTGGCCGCCTCTACGTTCTCCCTCCACCCCTTAGCAGGAATAGGGTGTTCTCTGTGTTCTGGACAGTTTCCAGTGTTCTCCCTTTTTTTCAAAGCACTTTGCTTATATTCTTTTGTTTTTTTTTTTTTTTAATAGTCCTTTATAGAGCTCAGTCAGGAAGGGGACTGGGGCACAAAGCCAAGCCCCCAGCACCGGGAGAGGCCAGGCCACAGCTGCTGCTACCCTAGGCCTAAGGCTGTAAGCAAGAGGCAGTTCTGGCTGCCAGCCAGTGTCCTACCCTGCCCAGCCCCAAGGACAGCTCTGGGTAGGGAGCACTGGGCCCCAGGCCCTTGCCTCTGGGGCTCTTGGATGGAGGGTCAGTATCTGTGACTGAATAAAGTTCCATTCTGTGGCTGTGGAGTCTGCTGTGACATGAAGAAAACGCTGGTTGCTCTGCCCACAGCAACATGGGAATGAGGGTGGGCAGGCCGGGCTACCAACGGGAGATGCAGTTTATTTACACCAGCAGCCATGGGGGCAGGGGGAATACACAGCGTTTACAAAGTTAGCTACCTGTACAGGATGGATTACATATGCAAAAATAAAAATCTCAAGACCACAGGACAGCGTGAGCCCCACCCCCCTCCCCCAATGACCCCAGCATGCGGTAATGCCAGGCGGGTGGCCCCTGGGCATGCGGGGGGGAGTGATGCATGGAAGGAAAAGCCACCGGCCATGGAAATTAGTACAGAACCCCCCCCCACACACTCAGACACATGATAGGATACAGGGTGGACAACACCTAGCCGGGGTGGGAAGGATGGGAATTGAAACCCACACAGCCTGCTGTTAGAGGGAAGGGAGTGGGGAGCTCCTAGCCCCTGTTCAACTACATGGTAGGGGGGCACACTCTCCCCAAAAGGAAGGGGGTTTGCTCCCTCAGGGTCCCTGCTGGACCAAGCCCATCTCTTACCCAGCCTGGGCAGGGGGCTCTGCCCTGAGGGCGGGCCAAGGAACAATGGGGAAGTGGATGTGGACAAACCAGTTCCCAAACTACTTCCCACTTCTCCCTCCTCCAACCAGAAGGGGGAAACGGAGAGGCCAGAGGGGAAAGGGTGTATTAGGGCCTGAGCTGCAACTGCCTCTCAAAAGGGAGAGTGGCCTGCGGCCTTCCTCCCTCCACCTCCAGCCCGCTCCCAGGTCTTCATCTGGGAGCGGGCTGGAGGCTGAGATCCTCCTTGCCCTCTGGCCTCCCCGTGGAGGGAGAAGGCTGTGGAGGGGTGAGAACGGAGGAGCCCAGGCCCCAGGCTTTATTCTAACTCCTGCCAAAATCTGTTTGGCTTTTTAAAAAATAATCATTAATTCTTGGGTTAAAAATCAATTTGTAACCAGGCGTCAGCCACAATCAGAGCCACCCCAGGGGGAGATTGGGGTTCCAGACAGGGTACTGCAGCCCCATCTCTTGTTCCCTTAACCCTCTAGGGTCCCTAACCCAGATCAGTCCGGTCAGTCCTGGGTACTAACTACCCAAATATGGGATGGCTCCTCCTGGGAGGAGGGCAGGGGTCACGTCCAGCGAGTGCCAGAGAACACGGTTCAGGGTCAGCTCCATCCCTGGGGCCATCAGTTCTGCTCCCAACCTGGACTGCAGTCCTCCAGCTCGGTTCCTGGGAGCGATGGTGCCCACGTGGAGGTTGAATGATACATCTCTTCAGGATGTAGACCAGGCAGGTGGGCACACTGGCACGACAGTCCCGCAGGGGGGCACTGCCCAGGCATGGCACCCCGCCCCCTCCGCTGACAGCCAAGAACACAGAGACCACCCTCTCTTCCCGCCCCACTCCTCGCAAGGGGGGAGAGGTAAAAGATCAGGATTTTCCTCAGAGCCCCAAACCACAAGTACAGAATAAATAACTTAAAAGCGGCAAAAGGAAGGGGAGACAGGGCAGGCTTTGGAGGCAGGAGCATCGAGAGAGGAACTGGAGCTGGTCAAGGTGAAAGAGGAGGGGTGGCAAGCAGCAGTTGGGAACTTGGGCTGCCCCGGGAGGGCAGTGGGGCAGGGTAGGCAGGAGGAACATGGGGCCACCCCAGGAGGGTGAGGCCGGGCCCCTTCCTGGGGCAGGGAATGAGGTAAGAAAACATTTCAAATAAAGCAGCACCTCACCTTGGGGCCCCACTCCTCGCCAGCCCTGGGTCAGGGAGGAGAGGTAGGGGGGGAGTCATCCTGATACACAGCTCCCTCTTCCTACCCTCCCCGTGCCCGTTCCTTGAAGCTGTAGAGGCTGGAGGCCCTTTCCTGGCACCCAACAACAAAAGGACAGACAGCTCCTGCTGCCAAGGAGGCCCCCGGGGACTGAGGGGAAAGGGCTGCCCCTGTGAGGGGCAGGGAAGGCGGCGCTAGTTCAGGACGCCTACCTCAGCAGACAGCTCTCCATGCCTGCCTCCCCCTGGGATGGGGGCTTTTGATAGGATTCTGCACACAGACAGGACACGCCCAGCCCTGCCCCTCAGCTCCAAGCACCGGACCCATTCACATTGCTGAGGGCAGCTGGGGGAGGCCCCCTCCAGGCTCAGCTTCCAACCCACGGCCTCCCGGGTAGCCACGATGCTCCTCGGCAGGGCTTAGTCCAGTTCCTGGGGTGGGGGGGCGGCAGTGCCCTGGCACAGTGCCCAGGTCAGGCCCCTGGCCTAGCTGGACATCCAGTAACTCACAGAATAAATAGGAAAACCGCCTCCCCACCAAACTTATGTCCAAGGCATAATATGTCCAGGTCTGAGTCCTGCACGCTGAGGGCTCGTGCTCCATCGCAGAAGACCCTGACACCCCCCAGGGGTGCATAATTGGATCCTCTGCCTGCCTCGCCCACCAAGCTTCCCAAGCCCAAACCCCCAGCAGCCGTCCATTTGCCAGGCTGTGCCACCTGGGTGGGGGTCGGGAGAGACAGCTCTGCTCAGCCAAAGGCTATCCCCTTGTACCCAAGTCAGTTGATGTCATCGTAGATGCTGGGCGTCGGGGGCGCCGGTGGCTTTGGCTTTTTCTTCTTGTTGGAGCCCAGGCTGGAGGCAGTCCCTACCAGGCTCAGATGGGATTTCTTTTTCTTGGTTTTCCGTGACTCGGAACTGTTGGTACCTGAAGAGGAAAGTGGAAAAGGGTTGAGAAGAGGGTTGTGGCAGGGGAACGCAAAGTACCCCCGCACGCCGCTTCAGGCAGAGAGCCCCTGGGGCCCGGCTGTCTCACTTACCTAGACCCCACCCCTGATTCTCACTCGTCTTGGAGGAGCCTGAATCAGAGGGTGAGAGATCAGAGGAGCCGTCCCACTGAAGCCGGCTGATCAGGGCCTGGCTGTCAGTCATGTCGAAGCTGTCATTATCCAGGGAACTCTCCACCTCTGGAAGGACACTGAGGAGGAAGAGGTCAGAGAAGGGCTTCAGGGATGCTAGCCATCACCCTCACCTTCCCCAACCCACCACCCTTCCTGGAGGGTCACTCACGCTGAGGGTCCAAGGAAATAAATCCGCACGGCTCGCCGCTGCTCATCTGTATGCTGAGGGCAGCGTAGGGACCTGGCAGGGAGAGAATGATCAGACCCTGACAAGGCAGGGAGGGTCTGAGGAACACAGGTGGAGCCCCTCCCCTCAGCAGAGGCGGGAGGGATGGACAGACAGGGAAGGGATGAATGAAGAGGCCCCAGATTGTGGCCTAAGGCCTAGAGGAGGGGAGGGGGAGGGTGGGAGTCCCGTTGCTCAAGTCCAAGGTACTCCCGACCCGTGCCCATGGTGAGGGCGCTGGAGGGCCCCCTGGCCCCCTTCCTAGGTTCTGAGCTCACCTTGTGCACATCTTCTTGGTGTGTTCAGAAATCACCCCACATTGCTGGAAGAGGAATATAAGCTGAAAGGAGGGACAGGGGAAGCCTATTCTATAGCCACTAGACACTCTTTTCTGTACAAATGCTAGACTGTGTGCTCAGAAATGGCCCCAGGGCGTCCACGGCAGACGATCCCAGACCACACTAGCCAGGAAACCTAATTCAAGAGAGAGACCTAGATGCCCTCGACCACTGCCTGTGGCTTTGCCTGCTCCCAAGGGCTTCCCCCCTTCTCTGATCCCTCACCGTGGTGAGCAGGCTGCGCAGCTCCTCTGGCCCCAGGGTCTCGTAGCTGATCCCAGCTGAGTTGTTATACTGGGTGAGAACCAGAGGTACAGGTTAGAGGAGAGATGGCCAAAGGGAGGGTGGGGGTGTGGAGTCAGTCCCTCTCGCCCCTCCCTCAGTCACAAGGCCTTAAGATTGCCCACAGTTTTCCAACAGTTTCTTCCACCCCAACTGCACCAGGGTAAGGAATTAGGACAAACAAAGAACATGAATACCCAAGACCTAAACACCCCATCTAGTTAGCGTTCTGATCCCGACTTGTCCAAGCCCACCCAACTCACAACGAGGCAAATACTGAGAGGGAACCTATGAGGGGTAGCCCCTACTCACCTTAAAAGGATCCGAATTGCTAAGTTCCCCTGAAGAAGAAAAAAGAAGGGGAAGGGTGTTTGATGCAGAGGTACAGACAGAGAACCCTGAAAATAACCAGAGAGGAAGTGGGGGTGATAGAAGGATCACAGGCCCTCCCTCGATCCCCCTGCCCCTCCACCTCCACCCACCAGCAACAAGTCCCAGAAGACATAGTTAGAATCACTCCCATTGTTCCAGCCCCACTTACCATTTTTGTGTTTTAAAGACTTGGATCTTCGAGGGGAATTGGGGTTCTGGAATGGGAGATACCATAGCTTTGGGGAAAGGGTAACGATAAGGGGGAGCCGAGAACCCAGGGAAGGAAAAAAGATTTGACAAAGAAACATCCTCAAATTCCTACTCTTCCCCACCAGTAAGAGGCCCTTCACCAATACTCCCTCCTCCCACCTCCCGCCGACCACCCCGAGCCTCTGCTGCCCTCCTCCCCACCAGACACCCTTAGCCCTGAACCCAGAGAGGTACCCAGTGACCTCAGACTTGAGTCAAGACACCCGAGGACTCCCTGCCCAAAGGGGAGGGTATCTGTCCTTGGCCCAAATCTCCCTCATGCTTGCCCCGGCTCTCACCTTGTCTGATTTTCTCTTCTTGGCTGTGTAGGACAAAAGGGTAAAGGGCAGGGTCACTTTAAGTTCCCAATCTAAGGGCACCTAAAGAAAAGTTACAAAGCTACACTCTCCTCCCTCATTCAGGATAACAACTTGTGACTGTTACACACCCAATTCCTGTATGCCTGCCTCACCCTGATGGCCCTCCCAATTCCCCAGATGCCCAAACACCTTTCTTCTCTGAGCCATAGGACCAGTCGTTGTCATTGATGTCATCATTATCCTCTTGGTCACTCTCTGACTTGTTCATGTTGTTGCTATTGGCAATCCTGCCAAGAGGGAAAAGGAAGGGTCAAGGCTGCCATCTCTCTCTGCCCCTGACTTCAGACATACAGGGGAGCGTCTGGGGCCAGGCACGACCCACCCTCTATATCCTCCAAATGTCCCGGGGCGGGGGGGATGTCCACCATGGGATGGGCTGTGAAAGATGGGCACTCTGGTTCTAGCAGAAGGAGAAGCCCTCACCGGCGGTTGGCGATTCGGCTGCTGTTCCGACCCATTCCTAGGCACTTCTCCAGGTGGGGAGCAAAACGAGAGGCGGCAATGCTGCGGCTGCAATTGGGGCAAACACACTCCTTGCTCTTCCACTGGTTGAAAACCTGTCCAAAGATGTCCAAACCCGGCTGGTCCACGATCTCTGGGGACAGGAGAGACGTAGCGATCAGGGCAGGCAAGGGATGCTCACCTCTCATTACCACCCACAGCCCTGTGGCCTCTTCAGAGCCCCTGCCTCAACTCCCAGGAGCTCCAGGTTCTACCTCTGGTGTGGCTGCTGGAGGAGGACCCTCCAAGCACTCCCAGGGCAGGGCTAGGCTGCTCTCCTTCAACCCTGACGCTCACCAAAATCCTTCATGCTCTCAGGGTCCGTGTCGTCCAGGAAGAAGTAGCCACACTTGACAGCCCGGTGTACCTCAAAGCAGAATCCCAAACAAGAATCCTCGACCAGGTCCGCGTATATCTCCTGAGCGATGGCCTGGGCCCAGGGGAGAACATCCAGGGTCACGAGAGTCACAGTCCCATGGACAGACGGCAACTCTCACCAACCAAATCTCCTGCCAATTCGCTCTGGCCAAAAATAAAGCTTCCTTTGCCATTTTTCCCCATCTTGACTTTGAGTTCTTTCTTCTTCTGGATCCTTGGGCCTTCTTAGCTGGCTCTTCCCTTTAAAGAACAAGGCTGACTACCCAAATTCCTCTCTGGTGTGGATGCCAGATATAGCGAAGAAGAGACATCAAGAGAAAGAACTGGAGGCACACGTGGGGGAGCCCTCACCTCTAGTTTGCTGTTATCCAGGCCAGACAAAGACATTTCCTCCATTTTCATTTGTGAACTCTTGTGGAGACGGTGCTCTGACTGCTCATAGCACAGCGGGCGGCAACACGGCTGCACACATGGGGGGGGATGTTGGTGTGAGTCCAAGGCACCTCCAATGGCTGCCACCTCCCCATCGCACCTCGCTGCCCAGAGCTTAATGGTGGCATCAGGATCTACCTCTCCCTAAGGCCTCGGTTAAGTCTGGATGGTCCTGCAGGGCCTGAAACCCAAGGGTGGCCTAGTCCTTCCCAGGCCTGAACTCAGGCCCTGGACTCTTACTGCCAATCAGAGTCTGGGTCTACAGGAGGCAGCAGCTCACCCCAGGTTCCCAAAACTCAAACCCCTCTTCCATACCCATGGTGCAATGCAGCAGGGGGAGGAGAAGGAACTCTAAGGCCTCAAAGCAAACCCACAGGGTGTGGCAAAGAACTGCACAGACTCCTAAATACACTCCCCCCCCCTTCCAGGCTCTCCTCAGAGTCACCTCTGCTTTCAGCCAGGATGTCCACTTGGGGGGGTACTGCTACCAGAAGTAGGGATGGCCCTAGGACCCTACAACCTTCACCCCACTCTGTCTTCCCTTGAAATAAGCCTGCCACTGCAGACGGAGAGCAGAGTCCACAGAAACCTAGAGCTAAAAGGGCATCCTAGCCACCATGAGCAAGAAAGAGGAGGTAGAATCCGGTGGGATGGCAAGCCAGGAGTGGGCACTCCCCTTACCTGTTCTTCTTTGAGATAACCACCCTCCCTCCCTCAGGACCAGCCCGGAAGTCTCTCCAAGAGCCCCAAAGTCCAGGAATCCCCACCAAAGGATTCAGAAACAGAGCACACAGTCCGGGGCCCCTCTGAACGGTGGGTACGAGTTTAAGGAGCTGCCGGCCTAGAGTGGGGTGGGGACTGACAAACGAGCCGGGGGCACTGGGGAGGGTAGGAGGCCGGGCCTCGGCTCTTCCCCCGTCCCTGCGGCACTGCTGCTGCATCATACCGACTGGGGGGAGGAGAGCCGAGTCGCCGGAGGCCGGCGCCGGTCCGGGACAGACCGACCCCTAGAGAGTGGGCAGAGTGGGACACGTCCCGGCCCCTCTTCTTCCCCGCCCGCCGACAGCCCCGGCCGGCCGGGGAGAGGAGTCCGGGAGGGTGTCTCTATTGTCCCGGGGGCTGGGGCCTGGCTCCCTAACAAAGGCCCCGCGCCCCCTCCCCGGCCGGCCCTGCCCCGCCCAGGGGGGACCCAGACAGGGGGAGAGCTAGGGGCCCCGGCCGGGCCGGGAAGCCGGGGGAAGCCGGGCGTTTCCGCGTCGGCCCGGGGGGAGGGGAAGGGGCGCTGACCCAGACCTGGGGGGAGGGGGCCCAAGCCCCGCCTCGGGCCCCGCCCCCCGCCCCCCACAGGCCCCTCCCCCGTCCCCGTCTCCGTCCCGTACTCACCCCGCCTGGGGGGCCGCGCCGGGGCCCGGCGGCCTCTCAGGGCCGCGTCCTCCGGCGGCGGCGGCGGCGGCGGCTGCTCCGGAGCCCCATGTCCGTCGGTCCGTCCTCGCCTCTCCCCGGGGCCCAGGGCCCGGGGCCGGGGGGTCGGGCCGCCCCCCCGCCTCGCCGCCTCACCGGGCGGCCATGGCCCCTTCCCCTCCCTTCTCGTCCCGTCGCCGCCTCCTCCTCCTCACCTCACCCCGCCCGCGCGCAGTCCGCGCGCAGTCCGCGCGCCCCTCCCCCCGCCCCCCACTCCAGCCCGCCTCTCCCGGGCGGGGGGTGCGGCGCGAGCCCGGAGCGCGCGCGCGTGCCGCGACCGGAGGATGGATGGATGGAGCGAGCGAGAACGCGAGCGTGCGCGCGCGCGCCCCTCTCCCCCTCCCTTCGCGCGGGCGCGAGGCCAAGCGCGAGCGCGCTCCAACCTCCTCCTCTTCCTCCTCCCGCCCCTCCTCAACACCCCGCCCCCGCCCTCCCTTCCTCTTCCTTCTTTCGCTTTCGCGCGCCCAGCGACTGCTCGCGCCTGCTAGAAGGGCCCGAGCGCGTGCATCTGCCCGGCGGCCGCAGCTCGGCAGCATTTGCTCCAGGGGGCGGGGACCGGGCGGGGAGGAGGGGCGCCACGCCGCCGTCCAAAGTACCGGCGGACGGGGACGGGGGCGGGGATATGGGCGGGGCCTTCGGGAGCCACCTCGGCCAATCGCCGTCTTGCCTAGGCCCGGCCGGCCCAATAGGATTTCGGTGGGTGGAGCGGCGTTCAAGGTGAGGTGCGCGGTGCGCTGGAGGCGGAGACGTTGTGCCGTCCCGGCCGGCTCCGGGGCGGGGGCAGCGGGTGGCGTCGAAAGAGAGCGCCGGCTTCCAGCCGCGCCTGGGACGCCTTCCGGCCCAGGCTCCCCCGCCCTTCCCTCCGGGCTCCCGGCTCTTTTACCCCCAGCGCCACCACCCCGGAGTTTACTTATGTGGAGAAGCCAGAGTTGAAGTGGGACGCAGTTATCACCTCAGGGCAGAAAACCGAGGGGCCTCGTCCGAGCCTAGGTTCCCCATGTTTCTGGGCTGATCTCAGCCCACTCCGGGCCTCAGAACCAACAGACGCCCTAGATGAGGGTCCTCCGCTGAGGGCGGAGGCTGAACTGTGCCATTCTGAGCGGAGTGCCCTCCCCGCCCTCATTCTAATTTAGATCCCACACCTGCTCGCCTTTCCTGCTTCCGGAACCCACGCTGGACCCCCCACCTCTCCTCTCTGCAGCCTGCCAGGCAGTGGCCAGACCCTTCCTCCGACCCAGTTCTTCTCCCCTGTGTGTACCCATATCCGCGCGCTCTCACAGTCCCTCTTCTGGAGCAAAGGGCCTTTCCCAGCCGCAGTAGATGCCTAGACTGGCGCTACCGTTTCGGTTACTCTATGTCTGGAGTCCTGGAATCCGGGTGTATGACAGCCCTCTTCCCGCAGAAGATGAGTTTAAATGAAGAAAGCGTTAAATCTTTGCTTTGGGACCATCATTGACTCTCTCATCTTCGGCAAGCATTAATTGAGGCCCTAGTCCTAAGTGGTTAAGACCAGGAATCATCTGAATTCAAATCTGTGGACTTGACAAATGAACTTGAGCAAATGAGCTCTCTGTTGCCTCGCTTTTCTCTCTTGTCACTGAGTATGATGACAGTACTTATTAGGTTGTGGGAATTGACAAGTCAGTACATGAGAAACTTAGTTCAATGTAAGTGTTTGGTGAATCTTAGCTGTTTTTGTGTGTTAATGCAAAGATAAGACACACTTCCTCAAGAAGTTCACAATTTGTGCGGTAGACAGACCTGTAGGAAAGTAATTCCCCAACAGTGTGATAAAAATAAGAGAGCTAGGGACTTCCCTGGCCAACCAGTGGTTAAGACTATGCTTCCACTGCAGGGGCCACAGGTTTGATCCCTCCCTGGTTGGGGAACTAAGATCAAATACACTGTGTGGCATGGCAAAAAAAACAAACAAACACCATAGGGGACAGAGGTGGCTAGGAGGAGGAATCAAATGATGTAAAAGAGTTTCTTAGGAAAGGTTTCTTGCACTGGCTGAAACATAGGAATTGGTGAGGAAGTAAGCAGAACAGACCACACAGGACTAAGGGTGTGCTGAGAAGTTAGTGGGATTTAACCCTAGAGGCTGTCAGAAGTCCTCAAGGGGAACTGTTTGACCAGACTTAAGCAGATGCTCTGGAGTGGGGAGTCTGGATAGCTTAAAAATAGTAGGTTTTTGTCATAGCTTGAGATGTGTGGGGTGAAGGAGAGAGAGGGCCTGAAGACATTGTTAACCAAGATGGGGAACTCTGGAAGGGCAATGTGAGGATACAGGAGAATGATGAGTTCTCACTGTTTGAGATTCGTTGGGAGTTATACTGTGGGATTAGCTGCTGGAGACTCTCAGAAGGTATTTGAATTTGAGTCTAGAGCCAAGAAGGAGGCCAGTACTTCAAGTGTCTTAGTGTGAATCAGAAATCCTCCACTCCGACGATACTGATCTGTTTCTTGGTCTCAGAATATGTCCAATATACCCTGCCTTAAGGAATTTACATATGCCCAGGAAGCCTTCCTGTCTCCTCCCTGTTTACCTAAATCCTTCCTCACTTCTCCACCCAGGCCACCGTCACAACAAACTCCTTTAAAACTGGATTGTACTCTTCACTTGGCACTTGGCCTGAGTGGTTCTGTGGTGGTGACCTCTTTGGGCACGTGCCCGGTCTCCACAGTTAGCACCAGTCAATAAACACTAAGGACTACACTGGTCCAGGCTCTGGGTGAGGCCTTGGGGTTACAGCAGCAAGCCAGAGAGACACACAGACCTTGTCTTAGTGGAGCTTACCACCCAGCAAAGCCTGATGTGGAAAAAACGTTCAATGTGGAGGCATTCAGGCAGCCAAAGAAACAAATGAGTAGAAATCTTTTTGTCAGGGCGTCAGGGCAGGCTCCCTAGAGGAAGTGATCTTTCAAGTGGAGCCTTGAATTAACTAGAAAGAGAGGTTAAGAGGAGCATTCTAGGGAACAGTTATGTATATAGGCAGAATGTGTAGAGGCCTGAGAAGAGTGTGGTGTGTTTGAGTCTGGGATGGTTTGTGCAATTAGACTTGACAAAAAGAGGCTATATATAATATACTATATATATATATATATATATATATATATATATATATATGACATTATTATGGGCCATTCTTATTCCCTTGGCTGTATTGCACAGCATTCGGGATCTTTTTTAACATATTTTTATTTATTTGCCTACACTAGGTCTTAATTGTGGCATGTGGGACCTTTTAGTTGCAGCATTTGAAATCTTTGTTGCAGCATGTGGGATCTAGTTCCCTGATCAGGGATTGAACCAGGCCCCCTGTGTTAGAAGTCTTAACCACTGGACCTCTAGGAAAGTCCCCTAATGAATATTTCTTGATTTGTCAAATGTATGCTATGTATGCTCAGTCGCTCAGTTGTGTCCGACTCTTTGTGACCCCACAGACTGTAGCCTGCCATTGTCCTCTGTCCAGGCAAGAATACTGGAGTGGGTTGCCATTTCGTCCTCCAGGTGATCATCCTGACCCAAGGATCAAACCTGTATCTGCTGCATCTCTTGTATTGGCAGGCGGATTTTTTTTTTTTTAAACCACTGAGCTACCTGGGAATAGGTTCTGGGATTACTATAATGAATGAACACATAAGTTGTCTTCACCAGCTAATCCCATCATAACTCCAACATATCTCAAACTGAATGTGTTGGTTTGGGGAGATAGACAATGAACAGGTAAACAAATACAGAAACAAGGGGATGTAGGAGAAGGCCTCTCTAGAGAGGGTGGTCAGGAAAGGCTTGTGAGGTGACATTTGAGCCTAAGTCTGGAGGATGAAAAAAACAAACTATCTGTAGTGTTGGGCGAATGGCATTTTGGGCAGAGAGAGCAAATCCAAAGGTCTTGTAGGTATGTTTGAGGAGCGAAAGACATATCCCTTGGTTGGATCCTTGTGAGTGATTAGGGAGAGTGGAGTGAGGGAAGGGAGAGGGAAAACAGAGGCCAGGCCTTGAAGGGTCATGGTAAGACAAGGCAAGTTAGAAGTGCAGAAGTTAATTAGCAGATTTGTTTTTAAATGATAGCTCTGGTTGCTGTGTGCAGAATGGACTGTAGGGGGCAAGAGTGCAAGCAGGAAGATGAGTTTTAGGTTTTTGCAGAGGATGAGCAATGGTGATGGCCTTGAATAGGATGGGGATGTAAGCAGGTTTGACAGATTTGAGAGAGACAAGAAGTGGAACAAACAGGTCTCGGTGAGTAAATTTCACCTCCCTTCACTGAGAGATGAAATAGGGAGAAGAGTTAAGGCTGATACTAATGAGTAGATGTTTAGTGCTAATCTGGGGTCTTGAGGTACCTGCAAGATATCCCAGAGGATATCTGCTTTGCAGGCTATCCCAGAGGATACACTGAAGTCTGTACTGGTCTGCAGCTTCGAAGAGACATCTCTATAGAGGCCACTTTTTGGAATGGTTACTATGGGTGATAACTGGAAATTCATAGAGTGACTTGAACACCTGTGATAGAATGAGGAGGAGGAGCCAATGCCAGCAGAGTAGACCAAGAAGTCAAGAGGCACGTAAGTGTCCACTGGGTGTAATGATGAACATATTCCCCTCAGGGGAATAGTGAATGGAAGGTGAGGAAATAGAAGGCCATGAGGGGCAAGGAGCTTTTCAGAAGTTTGGCAAAGAGTGAGAGAGGGGTGTGGGGTAAAGGGAAAGGTCTTCAATGGGCCTGGGTCTTTAGCCCTTGGTGGTTCTGGGAATCCAGCCAAGGCCTGTGGAGGGAAGGCTGTCTTCCTTAACCTCAGAGAGTGAGTCATCTTGGCCCAGCCCACTTCCCATCAGAGGTCTGGGTCATTTAGGAAAGTCTTTCCTCACCCTGGTGAGGCTGAGGGCTCAATGATAAGCCCTTGCATGACCAGGGTGAACCCCTGACCCTAATGGTTCATCACCTCCATTTTTCAAGGCAGTGCATGCTGGGAGAAAATTTGTTTTCCAAATTCTCAGTCCTTAGTGGTCTAACCACTTAAGTTAACAAACTGAAGTGAGAAAGTGCAAGAACAGTAGCACAAAACAATGTGAAAGTAGGTTGCTATGGAGCCTTCAGGAATGAGGAAGATGGTTCTAGAAAGAAGAGGCAACCAAGTTGCCTTCAAGGGTCTTACCACACTGAGCCTGTTGGGTCACCTCTGCCACCACTCCCACTTACTGAGTCCATTGATCAGACAGCAGTCAAATCTTTGTATTTTTACTTTATTGTACAAAAAAAGGGAAAACAAAACTTCCACAGTTGGCCTAAAGCTTAGGCAGACACCTCTAAGCCATTCCCTCCCACCTCCCATGATACAAATTCAAGTTGTGGTTGTTGTTGAAACCTACAAAAACACTTCTTAAATATTAGAAAAAAACGGGGTGGTGGGGGGAAGAGCAGGGATCCTCCCACCCCAGTGCCAAAATGCACTCAGAGTGACCTCTTACAGCACCCACACCCCCACCCCCACAGCCCTGTTTGTACTGTAAGAATTTGTCAATTTTTAAAACGGGGGGAAAAAAGTGCCCCATTCAAAGTTGTTTTTAAATGAAAAACACATTCCACTAAAACACAACAGCGCAGGGGCACTCTGCAGGAACAGGGAAATGGGGCTCTCTGCAGGGGCTCTTGGGAAGAAATAGAACCTACGAACCCCTGTACCTAATTCCAGGAGCAGGACAAAGAAAGGGGAGTGGGGAGTAGGGAGTATTCCCCACTAGCTCCTCCCACCCCCAGCACCACGTCGGAGGCAAAGCAGATTATCTATCTGCCTTCCTCTGTGAGCAGGACCCACCTTTCCCACCACACCTCCCAGACAAGAGTTCTTCCTCTTGCCTTTCGTTCAGAGGGGGAGGGTGGAAAAGCACAAACCCCCAATTAAATAGGTCACTGACATGATTGTTTAAACATTTTTTGATCAAAAGCAACAACAAAAATTAAACCCACAGAGACGAGGTGGCTTGGCTTTTTGAGAGTAGGAATCAGGGTTCCAAAATCTGGGGGATGGCTGGGAAGGGTTAGAACAGCTGTCAAAGCAGCTTTTGCAGACCTCTCCCTCAGCTGTGGGTTTGGAGAGATGGGGTGGGGAAGGGAGCTGACCTGAGAAATCAAAGGAAATGGGGGTGGGGTAGCTGGAGGATATGCGGGGGAGGCAGGAGGGGTGTATAAGTTAAGAGCTTCCAACACATCTCTTGAAGCCCAGGTTCAAAGCTGACAGTGGCTGGGTGACCCCTCAGATGAGCTGGAGAGGCCTTTCCCACCAAATCAAATATTTAAGGTTCACCTGGCCTGTCCCCCTCCCCACTGTCCTGATGGATACTGGAGACTAGCAGTAGCGCCAGTGGCCCTGGCTGAGGGAAACCAGCAGAGGAAGCACCAGAGTGGCTTCAGTACCCCGAACTGAATCAGATATCAGGCAAAGCAGAAGATATGGAGAAAAGGGCCACGCCAACCCATCCCCACCAGGGGCAGTGTCTCCATAACCCTCAAACCCTTTTACATTCTCTTACACGCACAGATACACGTGCCTTTGCACACATCCACAGGTGCACCCATGCTATGTACAGGCCACACGCACACACACATGCCCGCACGCGCACGCACACACACTTCTCCATACACGTCAAGACCATTTTTAAAAAGCCCCAAACCTACCCTCTAAACCCTCCCTCTCCCAGAAATGACAACAGAGACGGCAGCCGAGATCGGTAGGAAACGTCTCGTTGACAGCTCAGAGCTTAAAAAAAAAATATATACACATATATAAAAAACACTTCTGCCCCCTCCCCCCCGCCCCCGTAAGTGGGTCCAGGCAGCTCCTTCCCGCAGCAGGCAGGGAAGAAGAGGGCCATGGGGCAAGGCCTATTTCTCATAGGCGCCCACCCTCCTCTCCCATGTTCCCTGCCTCCAGTTCCAATGTAGGGGTCCAGGCTGCAAGCCCCTCTGGAAAGAAAGGGGTCTTCCTCAAGCTTCCACCCTGCCTTGAGTCGGGCTGCAGGTGTAGGGGGCCTCACTGAACTCTTTGGGACCCCCGTCCCACTCCCGGGTCCATTGTCCATGCCGGAAACCGCAAGTGCAGAAGAGGGGTGGGCTGGGCCAGTCCGGTGGTGGCTCAGTCTGATGGGTACGCTCCCTGGAGGGCCCCCCAGGGCTGATGTCTCTGAGGCCGCAGAGTTCTGGCCTGGGCGCCTCCAGCGCCTACCCCCCCCCCCCCACCGTGTTTTGTTTTGTTTTTTTAAAAAAAAAAGAAAGAAAGAAAGAAAGTGGGGGAGGCCAAGGGGCAGGGGACAGAACATGGGGGAGAAACAAAGGTGATCAGTCGGGGAGGGGAGCCCCAGGTAGGGCTGAGCCTCAGTTGGAGTCAGAGTCCGAGGAGTCCCCCGAGGAGGAGGAGCTGGAGCTGCTGCCCTCGGATTCGTTGTCCTCATCCTCGTCGTCGTCCTCGTCGTCATCCTCATCCTCATCGTCCTCCTCATTCTGGGAGACAAGGAAAGTGCAGTCACCAGGGGGCCGTCCTGGCAGCACGCCCCCCCACCCTCCCTGCCATGCCCCATCCACCCCACCTCATCCCCATCCTCGCTCTCATCCTCGCTGCTGGACTCAGAGGAGTCCCCACCATCCTCAGAGGAGTCCCCGTTCTCATCATCTTCCTCCTCATCATCCTCTTCGTCTTCATCCTCATCCTCTTCATCTTCATCCTCAGACTCCTGCGAGGGATGGAAGCACATCAGTGGTCCCTGCTATGCCACTCCAGGCACCTCGAACACCCCCACCCCAGCCCCTCCTGGGAGGGGCTCCTTACCGACTTAGATTGCAGGGCAGTCCGGCTGGACTTGGGGTTCGGGCCTCGCAGCTTGGTCATGTTCTTACGTTTCTGTAGGAGGGGACGGGGACATGGGCAAAGGGAGTAGCCAGGAGTTCTGTGCTGCTCCCCCCAGAAAGTGAAAGTCGTGTCCAACTCTTTGTGACCCCATGGACTTGGGCTCCTCTGTCCATGGGATTCTCCAGTCCAGAATAATGGAGTGGGTAGCCATTGCCTTTTTCAGGGGATCTTCCCAACCCAGGGATCAAACCTAGACCTCCCAAATTGCAGGCGGAGCATTGCAGGCAGATTCTTTACCATCTGAGCCACCAGGGAGCAACCCCCTAACCCCCACCCCCGCCACAAATTCCCTCCTTATCCCAACATCACCCTGCTCCCAGACTCACATTAGAGATGTACTCTTTATATGCTGCACGTTCCTGGGGAGACAGACTCTGGGGGAGACAGAGGAGGAGGTGAGGGCAGGAACATGACCCAAACTACTGCTGACTGAGCACACTGGTCAAGCGCCAGGCAGTGGGCTCAGCTCTGACCATCATGCCACCTGCGCCCGTCCCAGTCTCCTTGGGTCTCTGCAGAGAACCCTAAGGACCTGAGAACACAGCTCAGTATTTCTGCTTAAGATGCTCCAAAGCCTTTTCTAAGCTACCCCATCCCGAGACTGTTTTCATGTCTGTCCTGTGCTCTACCCAAATAGAGGCTCCAGAGTCAGGGCCTTCCTCAACTCAGAGAAGCGCCCCCGGATGACTGCCATAGCGTGGCTTAATCACTTCTCCCCAGAAGCCAAGCCCAGAGCCACTGCCAAGGCAATCTGGGGCTTACCAAATGTCTGGAACCCTTAAACCCTGCTATTTCCCCTGGGACCTTGGCCAACCCAGCTGGGTGGCTGGGGAGGACATCGGTGACTCTCCCCACTTTACAGATCTGACTGCTTAAGCAGGGCACAGAAGGGGAGCTCAGAGGCTAGGGGCTGAGCCAGAGTCTTGGAGACATCCCCTGGTCCCAGGTGGAGGGCGGAAAAGGCAGTCTGATTTGGATCTTCCTACTCCCTGGCTGTGTGACCTGGGCTAAGTTACTTCACCTCTCTGAGCCTCAGTTTCCTTATCTCTGCTGGGACGCTGAATGAAATCATGAATGCAGACCAGCCAGCATGATGCTTCCTAGGGTCCCCTGCCCTCTCACCTTGACCCAGAGGTCCAGGTTCACTTTGTACTGTTTCTGCTGCTCCTCGGCCTGCTTCTTGTAGTGCTCCTTCTGGCTCTGGGAGATGCGGTGCCAGCGGCTGCCAATCTCCACCATGCGCTCCTTCAGCGGCAGGTGGTTCAGTTGCCCGTTGGACAGCAGCTCCTGGGAGAACTTCTGATAACCATTCCTGGGAGGTGTGGGTGTCACAGGAGGGTCAGGACACCCACCAAGCAGCCCCTCCACCCTCACCCTCCCCACCCCGAGGATGGACTCTAGCCCCCAGACTCACATGGGAGGTTTCTTGGGTTCTCCCTGGAATTTCATCTTCTTGGAGGAGTTTGCAGCAGCCGGGGGTGCCCGCCTCTCACTCAGCTCTCTCTATGAGGACATCCAGAAAGGTCACTTATCGTCTCTCCTGCCCCATACCTGCAGTCCCTAGCTGACTCTCCTTTTAAGTGCCAGGAAGAAGGAGAAACTGAGGCACAGCTAGGGAGCAACTTCCTAACAACTCACGCCTTTGTCGGGTAGGTCCTGCTGTCTGAAAGTGCTTTCATAATTGCACTCACGTGATTGGTATCCTCACCCTCATTTTACTGATACAAGACGGAGGCTCAGAGAAGGAAGTTAAGAGACTTACTCAGGGTCACACAACCCAAGCCGGGACTTCTGGCTCCAAGTCCCACACAGTAAGGAAAGCCGCCCACCCGAGAGGGTGCTCCTGAGTTTTTAAGTGGGGGGAGGTGGCCCCAGCTCCATCCTGCCCCACTGAGCTAACCAGAAGCCCCTTTCCCACCTCGTATCGCTTTTGGTCTTCGGCTGCCTTCTTAATCCACATCAGTTTCTCCTTCTTTTCCATGTTGTTCCAAGTCATCTCCATGGCTTTCAAGGCCTTCTCCCGGTCATTCTGGGGACAGAGAAGGGTGTCAGAAGTGGGAGGGGTCACCTGGGGCTGCTCACCGTGTGGGCAGTAGCAGAACAACCCCTTTCTGAAGAGATTAATGGTAAAGCAACTACTGATCCAGAAAGAAAGAAAAGGAAGACCTCTTTCCCACTGCCTGCTACCTTGAAGCGGGCCAGATAGTCGCCGATGACACTCTGTTGCCAGATCTCCTCGGCTCTCTTGGGCGACTCCGGCAACTTTCCCGGCTTCCTCTCCGACTGGGCCTTCAGCGCCGCCTCCCGGGCCTTGTACTTGGCCTGCGGAGGGACAGCAAAGGCGTCAGCCTTCCGACCACCCCCAGGGGGCGCGCACGGCCCGTCCTGCAATGGAAGGTTCTCCCCGCAGCCGCCACCAGCAGCCGCCACCAATGGCAAGGGTGGGGTGGGGTGGGGCGAGCGGAGGCGTGGGCTGGTGCAGATGTCTCCAGCCAGGGGCTCAAGCCAGCAGCGGCCCTGCTCCCCAGGGAGCCCACAGCCCACAGCTGACAGCTTCCCGCCTTCCGGCTCGCTGGGTTCCCAGCCCCACCATCTGCGCTCAGGCCGCTGTGTGGCTCACACCTCACACACACACCCGGGGCAGGGTGAGGAAGTGCAGCTAGCCCCCAGGGGAGAAGCGGCCCAGACTCTGCCTGGCAGCCCCCTCTGGTCTGGCGAGCCTGACCTTTTTCTTCTCCGACAGGTCATTCCACATGCGGGCCAGCAGGCGGGTCAGCTCGCTCTCTGAGAGCTCGGGCCGCTCCTCCTGCAGCTGCCGCCGCTTCTCTTCCGAGAAGATGAACATGGCTGACACGGGCCTCTTGGGCTTCTCCGAGCCGCCCTTGTAGATGTGCAAAGAGGGTCGGGGTCCACGGGGTGCTCACGGGGAGCCCCGCCTCTTCCCTTCCACCCCACCTGCTGTTTGGTCATGTCCCCTGCCCACCTTGCCCGCTTCCTGGGAGGGCTTCTTGGAGGCTGGGCTGGTGGCTTGCTTCTTGTTGATGTTCAACATCTTCTCTTCCCCCAGGACCCGCTGCTGCTCCTCTTCAGGCAGGCTCTGATCAGGGAAAAAGAGGAGGCAGCACAGGGTTGAATGTGTAGTCCCCAGGCTCTATCTGTGTTGTCCTAGGGGCCTTGCTCACCAACCACTCCCTGCCCTCTCTCTGCCCACTGCCCTCCCCGAAGGAACACTCACCTCTAGAAAACGGAGCAGGTCCACCTCATAATCTTTCTTTTTCTGGGAAAGGAAGGGGAGTCAAGGTCAGTCGGGGGCAGCCTCGCTGGAGACCTCCTATGCTCCAGGGACAAACAGTAGCCTCTCAGCAAACCGTCCAGAGCCCGGCCAGGCCCAGTCTCCCTCCACAGCTGGCAGGCATGAGGCCCGAGACCTGCCTTAAGCAGCACAGATGCTAAACCGAGCACACCACCACGTGGAAAGCAAGGGCCCAGGGTCAGGCTTCTTGCTGCACAACTCCAAGGTTCTCCCGGAGTCCCGCCGCCCCAGGGCTGCCTCCTGCCCCGGCGCACCTGGTCGCACTTCTTGTGGTAGGCGTCCTTCTCCTTCTGGGAGAGCAGCTTCCACTGCTGGCTGCATAGCACCATGCGCTCTGTGCTGGGCACGTCCTTCATGTTGGCCATCAGCTCTGCGCAATACAGCGAGTAGCTGTTCCTGTCACAACCAGCAGCAAGGGAAGAGCATGCCTGTGAGTGACGGGGGAGGCCCAGGGCAGCGGCCTCCTTACTTGCAGAGCCTGAGCCGAGGTCCTTCATCAGCCTGGCTCCCTAGCTGCCTGCCGGCTCGCTCCCCATCCCCCAACCCCAGGGCAGCGCTCACGGAGGTGGCTTGGTGGGTCGCCCATCAAACTTGTCCTTGAGCTGGCGTTCGGCCTTGGTGAGGGTGGACTTGGTGATGCCCTCCTCACTGATGTTGAGCTCAGGGTGCTTCTGGATATAGTCACGCATAATCTCCTGCAGAGTGAGGTGGGAGGGGGACGGAGGGCAACGGGGTGTGGGGTTAGCCGGGGCTGCGGGGTGGGGGAGAGCCGCTGGGGAAGGGAGGCAGGGAGCCAAGCTGGGGGGTGGCCGTGCATCTGCTGTGTCACACAAGACGTGGTGCCCTGCCCTGCCCTAGCCTGAGATCTCATGGGGGGGGGGGGGGCGGGGAAGGTAGGGGCAGAGGTGAGGGGCCCAGAAGGCCCCTCCCTCAGTGACGAGAGGGGCAGTGACTGCCTCCCGCAGAGTGCGGAGGCCGCAGAGTCAGAGGGCAGAGGCTCGTGAAGAGCCGGACGGGGAGGAGCGCAGCGGAAGCCTAACCTCGTACTCCTTCCGCTGCTCCAGGGCCTTATGAATCCATTTCAGCCTCTTTTTGTCCGAGAGCTGAGACCACTGCTTCCCCAGGGAGTCCTTCACCTCCTTCGTAGTGGCCTGCAAACCAAAAGCCGTCAGACACACGCAGGCAGCCAGGGGGAGGGGGGAGGGGAAGGGGAGGGGGACACAGAGGCCCCCGCCCCCTCAGGCCACAGGAGGTCACGCGAGTGTCCCCCACGGGCCAGGAGGGGAAGGCAGAGAGGCGGAGGGTCCCGCCTGGGTGCAAGGGGACAGGCTCGCACACGCACACACACGCACTCACACGCCAGCTGGCCCAGGCCCTGTCCATGCAGCCCACCCCTGGGGAGGGGCCTCCTCTCCTGCTCCCCGGCACCGTGCCCGGCCGACCCGGCGCGGCTCCCCCCTTGCCACCACCGTGCGCCCTCCCCGCCACCCCTTGGCCGGACACTCACATCTGGCCGCACTTTGAGATACACCTTCTTCTCGTGGGTGTACCACAGCTGCTGGGGGGTTTTGGGCTTCTCGGGGATGTCCGACTTCTTGGCATTCTGGATTAGGTCTGGGTGATCCTCCCTAGCCAGGGCGCGGGGAGCGACAGTCAGTGGTGGGGGAGGGGGTCCTGCCAGGGCAGACCCCGGCTAGCTGCCCCCCTCGCTAAGGCTCCTTAGCCCATTAGCTGGGGCCAAGTGGACCAGTGGTTAGCTGCCAGTCCCTGCCCCTGAGCCTGAACCACTAGGGTCGACAGGTGACCCATCCATCTTCCATTCCTCAAGGGTGGTGAGCACCAGGCTCTGACCCCCCTCTCCTGCCACACCCAGCACCCTGTGGCCTCCTCTGCCTTACCTGAATCGGGCGAGGTTTCGCTCGAACTCCTGTTTCTCCCTCTGGAAGTCCTGAATATATTTCATCTGGGGGGAGGAGGCGATGGGGTCATCCATGACCCAAGAGCCTAGCCACAAACCCCACCAAGTCCTCCTTGCTAGCTATTTTGCCTCCCTGTTGGTGATGTGTATGGAGGATGTCATAAGTGGGGGGGTGGGGAAGGTGGTGGCCTTCCGGTGGAGTGGGGGTGGGAGGGACTCTGTAGCCCAGACACGAGGAGCTACAGGGGTCTCCCAGAACACATCCCATCCCTTCCCTTAAGAAAGGGAGAGTCCCAGGACGGGGGTGGACACGTGGCATTACCCAGTCACTTGCTAAGCAGTGACAGCGCTGGGATTCCCCGAGATACTCCCCCCTCTGCCTTTCCCCAACACCAAGGAAACCCCCAGCGAGGGAGTCAGGGGAGGGTGTAGGCCTTGCCTGTCGCTTGCTCCTTCTCTGTCTGTGGCAGCCAACACTAGTGTGCCCTCTCAGGTGGCCCACGGGGCCAGGGGCAGGCTGAGTCCCATTTCTAAGGCACTGAGGAGAGACTTAACTGACCGCAGCCGAGTGAATTCTTGTCTCCTGAATCTGGATTTTTTTTCCCCCACCTGCTGCCTTTGGGTCCCTGGTTGTCCTTGGAAATCCTGACGCCATCCCCGCCACAACCCTGTCATGACCACTCTCCCTGCCGCCAATGCCTTCTTCCAGGTTCTTGGTTCCCTGTGCCCTCCCTCCCCCAGCCCAGTCCTTCTCCTCTCCGGCCTGGCTTCCCTTCCTTCTCTCACCCTGGTCTTCCCTTCCCACCATCCCATCTCCATCCCTGCATCCTTCCTGCCTCCCCACACCCCTCCCTCTTGGACTTCTTTTCCAGCCTGTCTCTTTCCCTTCCTCCTCTACCTCCCCTTCTTGCCCCAGCTCAACGTCCCGCTTTCCTTTCGCCCTCTTCTTCCCAGATTCACAACCAGAATAGCGCTGGAGGCGGCCAGGGACACATGCTGCTTGAGCTCAACCTCTGCCTCTCATCAGGTGCGAGAAGCTGGGCAGCTCTACTTCCCTCTGAGGTGTCCACAAAAAAACCGAGAGCAGAGCCCTGCTTCCTTCACTCCAGTCTCAGCTCTCCTCTCACAGAAACGGCAGCTTTCAGAGCCAGAAGGCAGCACCCAGATCAGGTTCGCCCTCCACGCCTCAGATCAAGACCAGGCCCAGAGGAGGGAAACGACTTACCGAAGGGCACACACACGGCGATGCAGTGGCAGTCAGGGGAACAGGCCCACTGTGTCCCCTAGGCCGGCACCCTGCCCACTGTACCTCGGAGTTTCCTCTGTCCCACCCTGGTCCTAAGACCCTCTGCCTCTCCCTCTCACCCCATGGGAACGTCTAGGTGTTACGTATACAGTCAGCTCTGCAATGGCCCCATCGGAAGGGTCAAGAATAGCTCCAGCGATCTGTACTCCGGCTTGGTTCAGGCAGCAGCTGCAGACAGCTGGATGGACCCAGTCAAGCAAGCTCCTTTTTTGGGTACAGGACCAAGCCATGTGAGCCCAGAGCCAGGGTGTGCAGACTGGGACAAGGGCTATTCCCAGGGCTGGTGCCCTCCCGAGAGCCGGCTGCCTACAACTGTCTCCTCTCCAGCGAGTGTGCCTTCTTGTCTCTTCTGCTGCCCCTCACTAGCATCTCTCCCTGGCTCCATCTCACCGCACAGTATCTCCTGTGCGTCTCTCTCTGCCCACCGCCTCTCACTCTTGTCCTACCTGCAGGCTCCTCTGATGCTGTGCTGCCTGTTTCTCCCAAGGACCACACAACCTCACTGTGCTGACCATGTCCACCCCTGCCTGGGAGGCTGGGGCAGCCTCTGCCCAAGGTTAATGGGCTTGACGATCTGGGACAGCACGGGGCCACAAAGGACAATGTGTGTAAGGGGGAGGAAGTCCATGTAACCTGGGGATGCGCCTGTTACCTGCCCAGAGAAGACGGCTAGGCAGGGAGCCTGCGCACTAAACCATGGTTCTGGGACACGACGCCCTCCCGCACCCCAGTTCCTCTGACCACAAAATCTGGACCACTCAGTCTCCTGGAGTCACCTCTATGAGCATCAAATGAGACCATGTGGGGAAACGTCAGAAGTGAACAGCTATGAGGCCTAACAGTGAGGACATGCGTGTGAAAGAATGTTATGGGTGTCTGTCTTGGTCATGGTTACGTCTGTAGCGGTGCCCACACCTGAGGGTGTGTGGGCCCGGGAGGCGATGATCAGATGGGCTCCCCAAGGCCCTGCTCTATCCTGCTGACCCACCCACGCCCCTGACGCCAGGTCCCTCAGTCTAAGCCCTTGCCACCCCCTCCCCCCGGCCAGATAACCTACACCATTCCAGCTTCTCCCCACCTCTTCCCTCCGTGCCTTAGCCCCCCGCCCCCCACCTTCTTCTTCTCCGGCAGTTCCTTGTATTTCTTGGACAGAATCTTGGTCAGGTCCAGGTTACTCATCTCCGGGTGAAGTTTAGCATACTTGGCCCGCTTCTCCATGAAGAAGCGAAAATAAGGGGTCAGGGGCTTCTTTGGGAAGTCCGGGTGTTTCTGGAAGGAGGGACAAGGACACGGTCTAGGTGAGACACTGTTCTTTGGGCCTTGCTTCTCTGAACTCTTGTGCTCCTCCACCTGGAAACTCACCTTGAGTTTTTTGCCTTTGTAAGGATTTTTAACGTGTTCCTGAGCATCGAGGATCAATTCTGTCAATGTACGGAACTTTCTCACCTGGAGGAAGAAAGAAGGTGAGGGTAAGGGGAAGCGCCGAAGAGGGGAATGCCACCCAGGAGCGTAGCCTCGCTTTCCAATAGGCCTTCTCTATTTTCCACTAGACTGAAGTTTATCAAAGGAGAAGGGCTGGGGTCAAGAGCGACACAGCTCAGGCTGCGCTGATACCCAGGCACTGGCCCATGTTTACTGTAGAGATCCGGGCAGTCAGTACACATCGTAGGAGAGCAACAAAGTGACCACCTGACCTCAAAATGGTTGTCCATGTCAGCACCTCATTCAATCCTCAGAACAGCTCAGGTGACAGATGCTCTAAGATGCTCTAAGACGGTAAGTATTCAAGACCACATAGCTTAGAAAGTAGCAGAACTGAGAAGTCTTGGCCAGTGCTGTCAACCGTGCCAACTCCCGAAATGCACAAAGGCGACCACACGAGCACCTTGCCTGGTCTCTTTCCTTCCTGTTTATAGACTTCTGTTTCATCTCCCCAACCAAGAAGGTTGAAGCAAGGGTAGGTGGAGATGTGTGTTCGAATGTGTTGGGGAGGGAGGGGTAATCCATTACCTCGTTAGAAATCTCCACCCATTTCAGCTTGCACATGTCTCCAGAAAAGTCTTTAAATGCTACTTTTTCCCAGTCCATATGTGACTCGGTGGTTTTGAACTTGGAGCTGTCATTGGATGGAATGTTGTTCTTCATGCATTCCAGCAAAGTCAACATGTCTTCCTGGGACCAGCGGTCTGGGGAAGGGTAAGAAAGGCCATTATGCCTGGCTCATGCCAGCCCCAATCCGTCCCAGTCCTTAAGCACTCAACCCTTCTCAGAGCATCTCAGACCCTTCAGATGGTTATCTCCCATCTGAAGGCACAGACAACACATGGCCTGGCCCTAAGGAAAAGCTGTGGCCATACAGATTAGAGCAGGGACTCCAGTCCAGACAACATCACGCCTAGAAAACCAGACTTGGACTCAAGTCTGGCTTACTTCAAAGCTATTATCATTTCTAACGTGCCAGCCTGCCACAGATTACAATTTATCATAGGGAAGAGGGGAGGGGAAGGGAGCTACAGTGATTTGGGACCCTGTTGGAGAACAGCTAGCTTACTGCAGAAGAAAGGGAAACAAGGAGGCCACACACCTAAACGTGAAGCTAAATTTAGTCCCAGTTCTACATGGCTACCCTAAATGTGCAGACTGAGGCAGGGGTGTGGGCTGTAAGGAGAACCCACGCCAATGTTTTGCTCTAGCATAGATGGAGACTAACATTAGAGACGTGAGTATTCCACCATCCTATCCTCTCAGAAAGGACCAAAGGAGACTTTGGGGCAAGTAAAACAATGGTAGAGCCATACAAGGCAGCTATGAGGCAAAGCCAGCAGGTGGGCAAAAGGTGGGCCCTGCTTCAGGGCCACCCCCACCCCTAGAATTTTGAGTTGCCTTCTCAGCCCAATCCCCCATGGAAGCAAAAAAAAAAAAAAAAAAAAGGAGTCTGGACCAGCTATTTCCAGCCACTGAAACGCAGCTCCATTGAGGGCTCTCTGGAGGGGGCGACTGGGGAAGGTGAGCTAGGATGATAGCTATCCAAGGCTAGGAGTCAAAAGGGCTCTTGACTTGCATTCACATCTGGTCACCTGGGTCAGGGTTTTTGCAGGAGGGTCACATGAACCCATAATCCTGTCTCCTCTCAGTGCCCCACAGGCATTGCCAGATGCTCAGATTCATCCTACCCACCCTGCCACCCTACAAATGGATCCCCACTGGATGGGGTAGAGTATAGTTAAGTATGTTTGAGGTCTCCAGCCATCAAAACACTCTCTCCAACCTGCATCACCAAAAACTATGCCCTCTTAATAACAATTAAAAAAAAAACACAACAACAACAACCCTGAAAAGCCTTCCCAATCCCTCTTATCTCCCCCTTCCTCCCATATCCGTTGTCTCTCCTCTCATTCCAGGACACTGCTGAGGACACACTCGAGGTGACTGGGAACCCCAGAAGGAAGACTTGAACAGGCCTCCTCCTCCCTAACCTGGGGGGGAAATGGAGTGTGAAAAATAGTTTGTAGGTTCAAAGCCAAATAATTTCGGTTTAGCCAAACACCCAGTGTGAGGGGTGTCTGACAGTCAAGCGGCTTCCTCCCATTTCAGTTCAGTGAACCCGGATAGGAGAAAACTTTCAGAAGGGGAGTGGGCCTCGCAGACCTACGTGAGAATGGAGCGTTTAAGTTAAAAAGGGCTGAGGGTGGGGCTCCTACCTTGGCCTTTAGGGGCGGCCATTTCCAGGTCTGTGGGGCAGTCGGCTTCTCCGTTCATTCTCCAGCCGTCCAGCCACCTCCTCGGTCGTGCTGGCCAGGCAAGCCGGGGTCAAAGCCACCTCACCCTTTAGAAGAGACACCAGTCCCCACTCAGGCGGGCTGAGAGGTGGGGGACTGTCTATCACTCCCTCCCCGAAAGGGGAGGGGGACATAACCCCACACTCTCAGAGAGACCCAGCCAAGACTCCAGAAGACTTGATGAGTTGGTGGGGGTAAGAGTGCACTCCTTCAGCTCCTAACCCCACCCCCAGCCCCTGCAGCCTCTACAGCCCCGCTCCTGGGCGTGCGCCCTCCGCTGCCCACGCGAGACACTGCTTCGCGCTCCAGCGCGCAGCGAGCGCCCGCCCTCCGCCCTCCTTCCCCCACCCCGGCCAAAAAAAAAAAAAAAAACTCCTCCTCTTCTGTGCGCCCCGCCCTGGGGAGGCCCCAGGCTGGAGGGCGGGGGAGGAGGAAGGGCGGGTAAAGGGCGCGCGCGGCCGCGGAAGCGGGCACGCGCCGCAGTCTCCTCCTCCCGCTCCCCCCGCCGGTTCCCCCCGCCTCCGCAACCCGGCGGGGACCCGGACGCAGCGCAGCCGCCGCCAGCCCCGGAGCGCAGCGGCCGCACCGCCCCCGGGGACCGGATCCGGATTCCCGACGCCCTCCCCCTCGGGCACCCGACGCCGTTCCCACCCGCCACGGCGGGCAAGCAGCCGGAGAGAAGCGGCCTGGCCTGCCCCCCGCCCCCGAGCCACCCACCCCGGCCAGAGGCGCCGCCACCGCCCAGCCACCCCGACGCGCACGGAGGAGCCCGGCGCAGAGGCGCGACCACGGCGGGAACCGCCGCCTCCTCCCCCGAGCCTGCGGCCCAGCCCCGCCGGCGCCCCCGCCCGGGCCTCCGGGGAGCCGAGCCAAGGAGAGGGCGGGAGGACGGCGGCCGGGAGGCGGGGGAGCAGCGCTCACCGGCCCCGCCGCCCCCTCCGGCGGCCGGCGAGAACTGCGCCTGCCGGCTCGGAGAAGCGCGGGCTCCTCCGCCCGCGGCCGGGGCTCGGCTTGGGCCTCGCTTCCTGCCCTCCCCTCCCCCGGCTCTCGGCGTCCTTTCCATTTGCCCTGGTCCTCTCTCGCCCAGTTCTCTGCCTGGAGGTCGCCCCGGTCTCTTCCGGGCGTCCACCGCACCCACGGCTCGCTCCCCGCCGCCTGGCCCCAGCCCCGACCCTGCGCGCGTCCTCAGCCGCCTCGGTTACCCGGCGCAGCGCGGCCTCCGGGCTTCCCGCTCCGGCGGCTCCCTCCCCGGCTCTGAGCGGCGGCGCCCTCCCCCGCTCGGCCGGGCACAGCCGCAGCTCCCTCCCGCGGCGGCAGCGACTCCTCCTCCGGGCGCGGCGGCGGCGGCGGCGCTGGGGCGGCGGCTGCTGCTGTGGCGGCGGCGGCTGCGGCTGTGGCTGCTGCCTGCTGCTCCTCGCGGCGAAAAGCACAAAGCACAGCGCCCTCCGCCTGCAGGCAGCCCGCCCGCCGCCCGCCCGCCGGCCCCGGCCTCAGCTCGCACACCCCCCGCCGCCGCCGCAGCCTCCGCCGCCGGAGCGGGGAGGAGGAGGGAGAAGGGAGGAGGAGGAGCGGGAGGGGGGGCGGGAGAAGCGGGGCAGCGAGCGCGTCCTTCCCCGTAGAGCGCACACCGACCCCCGGGGAGCGAGCGCCAGCCCGCCCGCCTCGCCGGCTCCGCTCCCTCCCACAGCCTGCCCGGGCGGGCTCCGCGGGGGGCAGCTGGGAGGAGGGGCGGGAGCTGGGGGGACCCGGGCGGCCGAGGCGGAGGGAAGGAAGGAGGGGAGGGGGGTAGTGGTGGTGGTGGTGGCGGCGGCGGCGGCTGCTGCTGCCGCCGGGGAGGGGGGGTCGGGGCAGGGAGACACGCAGCCGCCCGGATGGCGGCGGGGCTCGGAGCCGAGGCGGACGGGCGGGCGCCGAGAGCGACCTCGCCAGACCCGCCGGGGAACTAGCAGGCTCGGCCGGCGCGGGAGGGAGGGCGCGAGGCGCGACCGCAGAGAGGGTGCCCGGAGGGCCCCCCGGCAGCTGGAGAGGCTCCGGGGGTGTCTGCAGCCCGGCTCCAGAGCTCTCTCCCCCAGCTCAGATTCGGGCTTCCACTCCAGCCCTCACCCGCTCACTCGCCCGCCTCTTGGAGCGGGCAGTTCGCGCCCACCCTTATCCCCGGAGCGTAGCCACCGGCTTGGGGCGCACGCAAGCCAATCGCCGTGCCAAGCTTCGGAGCCTGCCTCGCTGCTAAGCAGCACACACACGAAACTTTAAAAAAAGAAATCCCTAAAAAATGTCCTCTTTGCAAGTTAAAACAGAAAAAAAAAAATCTTTGCTCTTTAAATCCCGCAAACGGCGAGAAAGCGACGGGCTCCGGCGGAGGAGCCGCTGTGGGAGCTGGTTCAATCCAGCCCGGCATGGCTCCCCAGGCCTGCCCGGGCGCATGGAGATCGGCGCCGCCGCCACTCGCAGCAACCCCTCTCCCCCGAAATCCGCGGCGCCGGGGCTCACTTACCGAGCGTGTGAATGGGAGCACGGGCCAAGGGCACCTTAGGGGTGCGGCGGGCCGAAGAGCTGAGCCGCAGCTCCGCCGCAGCCGACGCCAGGGCAGCAAGCCGCCAGACAAAGCCCGAGATGGCGAAGCGGAGCGACGGCTAATGGCGAGCCCCACGCGCCGCGCTCCGCCCGCCCCGCTCCGCCCGCCCGCCCGCCCGCCTCGGCGCAGCGCAGCGCCGCTCCGAGCGCTCGCCCGTCAGAGCCGCCTCGGCGCCGCCGCCTCCCGGGCCACCCCGGCCTCGCCTGGCCCCTCCGCCTCCTCCGGGCGACTCAGCCTCACCCCTTCCCTCCCACCGCGCTGGGGGCTGCACGAAAATAAAAAAAAAGAAAAGGAAAAATGCTTTTCTTTTTTTTTTTCCCCCTCCCTTTGGCAGGGCGGGCGTGTTGAGACTTTCGAGTCTTTTTGCCCCCAGCTCGCACTCACCTGCGGAGCCGCCGGGAGGGCTGGGGGTGGGGGCGCGCGGGGCTGGAGCCGGCGAGCGCGGGTTGAAAGCTAGCCAAGCTCTGCAGCGCCCGACCCGGGCGTATACGCCGCCGCCAGTCCCCGCAGAGAAATCGTCCTCCTACCCCCGCCTCCATCGCTCTGCGTTTCTCTTCCAATCAGCCGATCGCTTGGCGGCTCCTCCATTCTCCGGCCAAGCCTGCTGCCTAGAGCGAACTCCACTCCTCCATCTGCTCGCCCGGCTCCTCGCTCCCCTACCGGGGCCGGCGAGGCGACGTGGGGCCGGAGGGGGATTTGCGAGGGAACCTGCCGGCTTCCCGCTCCCATTGCTCCCTCCCTGCTGCCTCCTGCTTCTCTCCTGCGTCTTTCCAACTCTCCCCTGTCGCCACTGGTGTGTGTCTGAGTGTATGCGCGGGTTTCTTTCTTTCTTTCTTTCTTTTTTTTTTTTTATTGCTCTTTGCTTTTGCAACCCTGGAGCCAAAGCAGGGTGGGGGGGAGAGAAAAGGGGGGGAAGGGTGTTACCAAAAAAAAAAAAAAGCAAGCAAGAAAAGCTCTTAGGTTTGCAACACATTGGAAAACCGGGGGAGTGCCCCGCCTCGTCCGTTCTCGGTGCCCCGCGAGGGCCTTCCGGGTTTTAGAGAGAACCTCTCGCTATTCTCAATGCCCCTCACCTCCTCCGAGTTTAGGATCCGAGGAGTCCGAGCAAAGAGTTCTCCCCCAGGGCCATAGCAAGGGGGTGTCAGGGTGAGAGTTGGGGGCAGTTTTCAAGAAGCAGCAACCATCCATCCCACCCCCGCGTCGGTAGCTGGGCCGCGGGAGTCTGGGTTGAGAGCAAAAATCCCGGTGGGTTTAGGCGAAGGGGATTCCGGGGCGAAGCGGAGCCGCGAGACCGCGCTTCGCGCATCTCCCCTTCGGTCTCTGCCTCCAGTCCCCAGCCTGCTCCCCCTTTAATTTTTAGCCCCCCCCCCTCTCCTTTAATCTAATTTCTTCCAACTCCACCTTTGTTGTTAACCGGCGTCACGCCCGGACCAGCCAATCCCCGGCACGCTATCAGCTTGTCAAAAAGGCTTGGCCAGCCCTGGGAAAGCAGGCCGCGGGCGCTGCCCCCCCTGCCCCTCCTCCCCCCGGCGGCGGCGGGGAGCCGCGAGGGGAGCCTGGCACCCCGGCCTCGCCGCCAGAGCCGCAGCGGGGCAGCCTCCCCGTAGGCCTTCGGTGTCCACCATCCTGCGGGCCGGAGATCGAACGGCCTGGGCGCGACCACCGTCTACCCTCCCACTGCCGTCGGCTGCGGTTGTCTGTCTCTGCCTCTCCACCGAGAAAGGTGCATCTGGACGCAGGAAGCCCGAAGACAGTCTGAAGAACGCCTGCTTCCATCAGGCGAGCCTACGGTTTGGGCCTTCGCTCCGGGGCGGCGCCATCGCCCCCGGCTCCAGGGATGCCAGTCTACCACAGCGGCACTGCCAGCTGGGCCGCCGACCCCTTTGGACTCTTCCCCTGTCACACAGCCTTCTCCATCCGCACACCACGGCCTCGCTGCTGCTGTAATTTCTCTTGTTTCCTGGGAGAACTGAGAGTCCTTTCCCAGGACGTCCACAGCCCACATCTGCCACGTTTCACAAACCGGGAGGAAAATCTGGTCAAGATCTGGTGTGTCTGGATTTTTTAGTGGGTAGGAGGGGCCGATTTACCTTGTTGCTCATGAAGCTTAAGCTTCAGGGCCCCTCATCGCAAGCCCTGTCTTTACTTTTGATTCATCATTTGGTATTATTTTTGATTTCCCCCTCCCCCTCCCCACAAACCTAGTTCTGCCCTTGGAACCTACAAAGAGGGCATTTTGTGAAGGACCAAGCCATGTCACACTGTACTTAGAACCTGCTGCTGCTGCTGCTGCTAAGTCGCTTCAGTCGTGTCCGACTCTACGCGACCACATAGACGGCAGCCCACCAGGCTCCTCGTCCGTCCCTGGGATTCTCCAGGCAAGAACACTGGAGTGGGTTGCCATTTCCTTCTCCAACTTAAAACCTGCAGGGAATGACTTTCTTGTTTTGACTTCAAAACAGCAAAGGGTTTGGAGTCAGAAGTCCCAGGTTCCCAGCCTCTGGGCTTTCCCACCTAAACAGTGTGAGTTTGATTAAATCTCTTCATCTGATCCGAGCTTTCTTGTCTGTAAAATTAGAATAGCAGTCCTATGTTCTCTGCTTTTCTCGCCAAGGGTTGGAGGGTTGAGTAAGATGATGTATGTAAAACTGTAAAATACTCCACAATGTCACTTGCAACATTTACAATGGGAGAAACTTAGACCCCAAGAAAGTTCCAAGTCTTCCACACAGATCTAGTGTCCAGGTGTCCTGGCTCCTGGCCCTGAACTTCTTGGCTAGGCCAAGGAGCATTTCGGTAAAGTGCTTTGGAATAAAAGAGGGTGAACATGAATCATAAGAATGATTATTATTGATTTTTCATTCCTTGGGCAGCAAAAATCATGGCTGGCACTCTTCCCACTTGGAAACTGACTGGCTTGTTTTACATCTACTGCGTCTCTGATGAGGTCAGGAGTCTAGACTTGGGCTATGGGCCCACGAGCTATGGGCTATGGGCCCAGAGCATAAGGGAACCTACCTACGCCCCCTCTCCCAATTCATTCCCCCCTTGCTCCCAGTTTTCTGCCCTGTGCCTCCAAGCAGAGCCTCGGCATTCCACAACCCCAGCCAGGCTGGTGACAAGGCATAATCCTAGCTACACATTCTCCACTTGGCCCCAGGTTTTCCCTGGGTTGCCAGTATCCCAGCACTAGTTCATATAAAATCCCTGCTGTGCCTGGAATGCATTAAGCAAAGTGTGACACTTCAATTCCTAGTGTACATGGAGTAATTTTAGATGGTATACAGATGAACATACTGTTTTCAAAGTTATGTATCATAATGTGTATTTGGGAATGTTCTGTTTTCTTTTGTTTTTTTTAAAGATAGTGCCATAAAGCTGCTGCTTCTTGTTTGAGTGTAAGGAAGTTACTCCTCTTTTATTTTTTTCTTTCTTAATTGAGATATAACTTTCAGATAGTAAACTGCACACATCTTAAAGAATACAACTTGATGCGTTTTTACATATGTATACATAGTATACATGTAACATGTGCATATATATACACATACATACATACATATACATATATATACACATACATACACACATATATATAATGTAACTACCACCCAGATCAGGATATTGAATATTTCTAGCATTGAGCAAGCTCACTCAAAGTCAGTATTCCCCTCCAAATGTCACTAGTATTCTGAGCTATTGCCGTAAGTTTAGTCTGTTTTTGGAGTTCATATACACGGAATCATTCAGTATATATATACATCTGGCCTCTTTCACTCACCATTGTGTCTGAGATTAATTTATGATGTTGCATGTAGTAGTGGTTCATGCCTTTTCATTGCCATACAGTAGTATTCCATTGTACGCATCAGTCAGTTCAGTCGCTCAGGCATGTCGGACTCTTTGCAACCGCATGGACTGCAGCATGCCAGGCTTCCCTGTCCATCACCAACTCCCAGAGCTTACTCAAACTCATGTCCATCAAGTTGGTGATGCCATCCAACAAACTATCTCATCCTTTGTAATCCCGTTCTCCTCCCGCCTTCAATCTTTCCCAGCATCAGGGTCTTTTCCAATGAGTCAGTTCTTTGCATTAGGTGGCCAAAGTGTTGGAGTTTCAGCTTCAGCATCAGTCCTTCCAGTGAATACTCAGGACTGATTTCCTTTAGGTTGGATCTCCTTGCAGTCCAAGGGACTCTCAAGAGTCTTTTCCAACACCACAGTTCAAAAGCATCAATTCTTTGGCGCTCAGCTTTCTTTATAGTCCAGCTCTCACATCTGTACATGACTACTGGAAAAACCATAGATTTGACTACATGGACCTTTGTTGGCAAAGTAATGTCTCCACTTTTTAGTATGCTGTCTAATTTGGTCATAACTTTTCTTCCAAGGAGTAAGCTTCTTTTAATTTCATGACTGCACTCACCATCTGCGGTGATTTTGGAGCCCCCCAAAATAAAGTCTGTCACTGTTTCCATCGTCTCCCCATCTATTTGCAGTGAAGTGATAGGACCCACTATCACGAAGGTGTGATCACTCACACTCACCTAGAGCCGGACATCCTGGAATGTGAAGTCAGGTGGGACTTAGGAAGCATCACTACGATGGATTTGGAGGTGGAGGTGATGGAATTCCAACTGAGCTATTTCACATCCTAAAAGATGATGCTGTGAAAGTGCTGCACTCAATATGTCAGCAAATTTGGAGAACTCAGCAGTGGCCACAGGACTGGAAAAGATCAGCTTTCATTCCAATCCCAAAGAAAGGCAATGCCAAAGAATGCTCAAATTACCGCACAGTTGCACTCATCTCACATGCTAGTAAAGTAATGCTCAAAATTCTCCAAGCCAGGCTTCAACAGTACATGAACCATGAACTTTCAGATCTTCAAGCTGGTTTTAGAAAAGGCAGAGGAACCAGAGATCAAATTGTCAACATCTGCTGGATCATCAAAAAAGCAAGAGAGTTCCAGAAAAAAAATCTATTTCTGCTTTATTGACTAGGCCAAAGCCTTTGACTGTGTGGATGACAATAAACTGTGGAAAATTCTGAAAGAGATGGGAATACCAGACCACCTGACCTGCCTCTAGAGAAACCTGTATGCAGGTCAGGAAGCAACAGTTAGAACTGGACATGGGACAACAGACTGGTTCCAAATAGGAAAAGGAATATGTCAACGCTGTACATTGTCACCCTGCTTATTTAACTTATATGCAGAGTACATCATGAGAAACGCTGGGCTGGAGGAAGCACAAGCTGGAATCAAGATTGCTGGGAGAAATACCAATAACCTCAGATATGCAGATGACACCACCCTTATGGCAGAAAGTGAAGAAGAACTAAAGAGCCTCTTGATGAAAGTGAAAGAGGAGAGTGACAAAGTTGGCTTAAAGCTCAACATTCAGAAAACTAAGATCATGGCATCTGGTCCCATCACTTCATGACAAATAGATGGGGAAACAGTGGTTGACTTTATTTTTCTGGGCTCCAAAATCACTGCAGATGGTGATTGCAGCCATGAAATTAAAAGATGCTTACTCCTTGGAAGGAAAGTTATGACCAACCTAGACAGCATATTGAAAAGCAGAGACTTTACTTTGCCAACAAAAGTCCATCTAGTCAAGGCTATGGTTTTTCCAGTGGTCATGTATGGATGTGAGAGTTGGACCATAAAGAAAGCTGAGTGCTGAAGAATTGATGCTTTTGAGCTGTGGTGTTGGAGAAGACTCTTGAGAGTCCCTTGGACTGCAAGGAGATCCAACCAGTCCATCCTAAAGGAGATCAGTCCTGGGTGTTCATTGGAAGGACTGATGTTGAAGCTGAAACTCCAGTACTTTGGCCACCTGATGCAAAGAGCTGACTCATTTGAAAAGATCCTGATGCTGGGAAAGTTTGAGGGCAGAAGGAGAAGGGGATGACAAAGGATGAGATGGTTGGATAGCATCATCGACTCGATGGACATGGGTTTGGGTGGACTCTGGGAGTTGGTGATGGACAGGGAGGCCTGGCGTGCTGCAGTTCATGGGGTTGCAAGAGTCGGGCATGACTGAACTGAACTGAACTGATGGGACCAGATGCCATGATCTTAGTTTTCTGAATGTTGAGCTTTAAGCCAACTTTTTCACTCTCCTCTTTCACTTTCATCAAGAGGCTCTTTAGTTCTTCTTCGCTTTCTGCCATAAGGGTGGTGTCACCTGCATATCTGAGGTTATTGATATTTTTCCCAGTAATCTTGATTCCAGCTTGTGCTTCATCCAATCTGGCATTTCGATGATGTACTCTGCATATAAGTTACATAAGCAGGGTGACAATATACAGCCTTGACGTACTCTTTCCTGATTTGGAATCAGTCTGTTGTTCTATGTCGAGTTCTAACTGTTGCTTCTTGACCTGCATACAGATTTCTCAGGAGGCAGATCAGGCGGTCTGGTATTCCCATCTCTTTAAGAATTTTCCACCGTTTGTTGTGATCCACACAGTCAAACGGTTTGACGTAGTCAATAAAGCAGAAGTAGATGTCTTTCTGGAACTCTCTTGCTTTTTCGATGATCTGATGGATGTTGGCAATTTGATCTCTGGTTCCTCTGCCTTTTCTAAATCCAACTTGAACATCTGGAAGTTCACGATTCACATACTGCTGAAGGCTGGCTTGGAGAATTTTGTTTCAGCAGGGTTTCCGGCTGTGGGGGGCACTGTTCCGGGTGAGGCATATACCATGGTGGGGGCCCTGAGCCGCTGCCCTCGTGATCCCCCCCTTCCCCCGCCACTGTCTCCTGCCCCATGGTGCTGCTGCTGTTCCTCTGCCTGCTCTGTCTCCAGATCGGATCACAATGAGGGAAAGAGGAGCAAGGAGAAGGCGACTTCTGATAACGAGGTGCATTTGTGGCGTAAAATGGAGGAGTCTCCTGCGAGAACTCCCACACTACAACTCACTGCTGAACAACTGTTGACTGGAGAATGTTGAATCCCATCAGAAAAAGATACCCCACATCCAAGAGCAAAGGAGAAGCCCCAGCAAGATGGTAGGAGGGGCGAAATCATGTTTGGAATCAAACCCCTTACCAGCCAGAGATGCTCAGAGGGCTCAAACAAACCTTCTGCGTAGCAGGACCCAGAGACCCCACAGAGACTGAGCCAGAACTGTGTTTGAGTGTCTCCTGTGAAGGTACGGGTCCGCAGTGGCCTGCCGCAAGGGAAGGGGCTCTGGGTGCAGCAGACCTGGGTATGGCGTAAGTCCTCTTGGGGGAGGTTGCCATTAACCCCACCATAGAGCTGCCAGAGCTTACACAAGACTGGGGAAACAAGACTCTTGGGAGGGCACAAACAGAAACTTGTGCGCTCCAGAACTCAGGAGAAAGGAGCAGTGACCCCACAAGAGGCTGACCCAGGCTTGCCTGTGAGTGTCCAGGAGTCTCCGGCGGAGGTGTGGGTCGATGGTGGCCTGCTACAAGGTCGGAGGCCCTGAATGTGGCAGTGCATGCACGAGACCTTTTGAAGGAGGTCGCTGTTATCTTCATTACCTCCACCTTGGTTTGGCCTCAGGTTAAACAACAGGGAGGGAACACAGCCCCCTCCATCAACAGAAAATTGGATTGTATGCATACGTGCGTGCTGTCACTTCTGTCCTGTCTGATTCTTTATGACCCCATGGGCTGTAGTCCACCAAGCTCCTTTGTCCATGGGATTCTCCAGGCAAGAATACTGGAGTGGGTTGCCATGCCTTCCTCCAGGGGATCTTCCTGACCGACCCTTGTCTCTTATGTCACCTGCGTTTGCAGATGGATTCTTTACCCCAGACCACCTGGGAAGCCCATTCCATTGTATAAGTATACCACAACTTATTCTTCTAATCTTCATGGGCATACAGGTTATTTCCAGTCTTTGACTACTATGAGTAAAAGTTTCAAATGTTCTTGTGCATATCTTTTGGTAGATATATGAATTCATTTTTCCTGTAGATTTCTAGGAGATTTCCTTTATCATAGGGTATAAATATATTGGACATTATTAGATATTGCCAAATAATGTTGTCATTATTTGGATTTTGATCGTTTTAAGAAGTGTGTTCTTTGTTTTAATCTCATTGTTTTAATTTGAAATTCCTTAACGACATGACGTTGTGTATCTTCTCATATGCCTAGTTGCCCTCTGAATATTTTTTTTTGGTGAGATGTCTGTTCAGATCTTTTCCCCATTTTTTAAATCAATTTGTTTTCCTTTCATTTTCTTTTTTGACCATGCCACAGGGCATGTGGGACCTTAGTTCCCTGACCAGAGATTGAACTGTCAGGGAAGTCCCTGTTTGTTTTCTCATTGTTGGATTTTAAGAGTTCTTTATATATTTTGGCTAACAGTTCTTTATCAGATGTGTCTTTTGCAAGTATTTTCTCCCAGTTTGTGGCTTGTCTTCTCATTCTGACCTTGTCTTTCTCAGAACAGAAGTTTTTTATTTTAATACATTCCAGTTTATTAATGATGTCTTTTCATGCCCTTGGTGTTGTACAACACCTAAAAAACCACCAGTATACCCAGGGTCACCTAGGTTTTTTCCTATGTTATCTTCTACACATAGAAGATATATAGTTTTATGGTTTTGTGATTTAGATTTAGGTCTGTGATCCATTTGGGGTTAGTTTTTTTGTAAAGGATGTAAGATCCATGTCTAGATTGATTTTTGAAGTTTTTGCATGTTGATGCCCAGTTGTTTCAGCGCCATTTTTTTGCAGGAGAGGCTTTTCCATGCAGCTTGTGGGATCTTAGTCCCCAAATCAGGGATTGAACCCCCTGCCCACATAAATGAAAGCACCCAGCCTAACCAGCACTGGACCACCAGGGAATTCCACACACCATTTGTTGAAAAGACAATCTTTGCCACTTTGTATTGCCTTGCTCCTTTGTCTAAAATCAGTTGATTTATATATATGTGGATCTATTTCTAGTGTTTCTATTATATTCCATTGATCTATTTGTCTATTCTTTCAACCATACCACACTGTCTTGATTACTGTAACTTTATATACATCTTAAACTGGAGTACTATCTGTCCTTGAACTTTCTTCTTCTTCTTCAATATTGTATTGGTTATTCTGGGTATTTTGTCTCTCCATATAAACTTTAGAATAGTTTGTTGACCCAGATGGTGCAGTGGTAAAGATCTACCTGCCAATGCAGGAGATGCAAGAGACATGGGTTCTATTCCTGGGCAGGAAAGATCTCCTGGAGTAGGAAATGGCAACCCACTCCACTATTCTTGCCTGGAAAATTCCGTGGACAGAGAAGCCTGGCAGGCTATAGTCCATGGGGTCGCAAAGAGTCTAACATGACTGAGCATAGCACAGCACACACACATACACGCATATCCACAAAATAACTTGGTGGGATTTTGGTTCAGATGGCTTTGAATCTATAGATGAAAATAGCAAGAATTGATATCTTGACAATATTAAGTTTTCCTAGTCACGAACATGGATATTTCTCCATTTATTTAGTTCTTCTTTGATATCTTTCATCAGAGTTTTGCAGTTTTCCTCATGTAGTTCTTATACATATTTTGTTAGATTTATATGAATACTTAATGTACTTCATTCTTTTTGAGTGCTAATATAAATAACACTGATTTTTATTTACAATTCCTCTTGTTCATTACTGGTATATAGGAAAGCAATTGACTTCTGTATATTAACCTTGTATCCTGCAACCTTTCTATAATCATTTATCAATTCCAGGAGTGTTTTTTGTTGGTTCTTTCAGATTGTTTACATAGATGATTGTGTCATCTGCAAACAGAGATAGTTTTACTTCCTTCCTCCTAATCTGTGTTTCTTCCTAATCTTTCTTTTCCTTTTCTTTTTCTCTTCTCCTTTTTTAGGATTTCTATGTATGATTTTGAAAGCAGTAGTGAGAAGGGACATACCTACCTTGTTCCTAATCTAAATGGGAAAGCGTCACTTCCGGAAAGCAAGGGGACGACGCGTTTGGCCCATAGGTGAGAGTGCTTTTCAGCTGTTCCGGTTTTTTCCCTCAGTGATCATGTCTGAACCAAGCTGTTTATGACTGCTTGTCTTCATCTCCCCGGAGGCCTGCGTTGGACCCAGGTCCCCAGGGATGGACCTGGTGCCTGTTTTCTCGCAGCCGCTCCAGGCCCTTCCATGCGGGAACTTTCGTTTTTGTTTTGTTTTTTTTTCCTGTCAGCCCCGGAATGCCCATCCCGGGACCGAGCGGGGTCTTCTTGGAACCCCAGAGTGGGGAGGGAATCTGGGACCAGGCTTGGGCACGTCCCTGCAGGGCAGGAATTGGTCTATTCCGAATATAAATAGGGATAAATGCATATAAATAGGGATAAATGCATATCCAGGGAACCGTTTGGGAAACTAGACGAGGAGACCGCAGCCCTTAGGTGGCCGGTTACGTCCCTCCGGAGCTAAGTGCCATTGGGGAAACAGCTGGATTGTTGAGAAACCCTGTAAGGAGGAGGCGGAACCCAGGAGGAATTAGAGGAAGTGATTTTCAAATTTAAGACTAGTTATAGCGCAGAAAGGTAACGCAGAGGGAAAAGCATTCGTGGGAGAATGAGATGCTTTTGTAAATCCCCTGATAAAGATATCATGGTATATTCTGGGGACGTAAAGAAGACAGGGTGTCTGAAACACAGAGAAAAATGAGAGGTGGAGAGGTGGTCTTGGACCAGACTAGATGCTAAAGGGAATGGTAGATCTGTAAGGATTTGGGATTCTGTCTTACGAATAATGGAGAGGCCATAAAAAAAAGTTTTTAAGTGGGAAGTGACCCTGTATATAAAAGGTGCTGAGTTCAAAAAACCAGAAGGAGCAACATACAAGGTATTTACCAAAAAGAAAGAAAGAAGTGGATGGAAGGTAAACAAATATTTAAAAGAATTATCTGCTCTGTTCATTGTTATTAAGAGAGTTTGAGAGAATTCCCTGGTGGTCCAGTGGTTAGGACACCATGCTTGCACTACAGGGGACAGGTTTGATCCCTGGTCAGGGTGGCTCAGCTGGTAAAGCGTCCACCTGCAATGGGGAGACCTAGGTTCAATCCCTGGGTTGGGAAGATCCCCTGGAGAAGGAAAAGGCTACCCACTCCAGTATTCTGGCCTGGAGAATTCCATGGGCTGTATAGTCCATGGGGTCACAAGAGTCAGGCAGGACTGAGTGACTTTCACTTTCAGGGAAGTAAGATCCTGCAAGTTGTGTGGTGTGGCAAAAAAAAAAAAAAAAAAAAAGAAAGAAAGAAATTTTGTTGTGAAGGGGAGGAAAGAGAATAGCTAGGTGGGACTTTGGGATTGGAGGATGGTGGCATCCTTGTTTTTGTTTTTTTTTAAGTTAGAAAATAGTCTGAAGATTGTTGGACATTGCTAGAAGGGATCCAGTGCAGGAGGGAGAAGGGGAGAGACTGGTTAGCTGATGGATCACCATCTCTCGGAGAAGGAGGTTGGGATCCAGCACACAGGTAAAAAATAAATAAATAAAAAAAAAATAAATGGGAAAGCGTCAAGATACTGACCGTTAAGTATGTTAGCTGTACCTTTTTTGTTGATGTTCTTTATCAAATTGAGGAGTATACTCTATTCCTAGTAGGCTGAGAGTTTTTATGATGAATGGGTATTGAATTTTGTCAGATGCTTTTTCTGCCTCTGTTGATGTTATTGTGTGATTTTTGCCCATTAATGTGATGAATTACATTAACTGATTTTCAAATGTTGAACCATCCTTGCATATCTGCAATAAATCCCACTTGGTTGTGGTGTATAGTTCTTTTTAAA